TAACTGGTGGGTGGCCCCAGCTTTCCAGCCCGTGCGGTGCGGCGGGGGTTCATTCCTGCCACTCCAGCTCTTGCGCACCGCGGTCGCACCCGTCACCAGTTCATCACCCATTCCGCTACCACCACCACCACCACCACTACGATTGCGACCCACCTCAGCTTCTGCGCCCTTCAGGGTCGAGATCTCCTTCTCCAGCTCCTTAGCCTGGATGGTCAGCTTGTTCCATTGCTGGAAGGGCGTGCTGCGGGAAAGCCGGCGAACCAATTCCTGGGGACATCGGATGAAAGGTGGCATTTTCGTTGGGGTTTGGGAAGGGGGTTAAATTGGCAAATTGAGGAGGACTAGGTGGCGGCGCGAAGATGTGACACCCAGGCCACAAAATTGCACTTGGACTGCGGGGGCCTCCCAAGCGACACCGAGCGGAGGCCCTTGGAATTGCGTCGGCTGTAACTGTACGGTGTATGTGTGTACGGCCATAGTGCGTCACGTATACACGACTTCCCTGCCTGGGTCCGCGACTCCAGTTCGGCGCGGGAGCAGCAACTTACGTTGTATTCCGGTGCCGCAGCGTTAAAGGAGGGCGGAGGCGGCCCCGAGCCTTCAACTTCCTCTTGCGGGACAGGAATCCAGCTTTCCGAAAGCATCACCTGCAGGAAAGGCCGAGTGAACACCCCATTATCACGTGGCTATGTGCTGGTGGCCATCGGACTCGAAAAAGGCAACTGTAACCGGTTATGCTGTGACATGTGCAGCCAGGGAGCCTTACCTTCGCATCGGCAGGAAGCCAGCAAGAATTCACAACAGGAGATAAAGATATTCCAGGAAGTAGCTCAACCGGTGGTCGCTCCGATCCATATAACTCGAAAAGAATTGGGTCCGGAGACAGTGCAGGCGCGGGCACTTCCGGTTCCGCCATATTGTAACCAATATTTTATATTAAGATGTTTGGCTTAATGCTCTTTCCTAATGCAACTCTGCAGTCGCACACCGGGTACCGCAGATTAATGCGTCTTCATGCAGAGTCAAGACGTCGGCAGGAGCAGTCGTTTCCGTTTGATGATGGAGCGTTGTCGGCACATCTGATGCTTGTCGTCTTGTTTTTCGAAGGTCTTCGCCGTACTCTCGTACTGAAACGCGCTCCTAAATCATATCGCTTTGCACTATATCATCACAATAATGAAAAAGCCAACATCGATGGTACCATAGTATGGCACAGTTAGTAGTCAACTTGGAATATCATGAGTGAAACGCATTTCAGTTCCGCTTGAATGTACTCCACCGCATCTCCCACGCGTGTATTTATGCTTAAATTACGTTCATATCTGATGTTCTTGCATGAGCTCAACACTGAGCTTTGCGGGTTTACTGCTGAGCTGGTCCTTATTCGGGGGTGTGGTATAAGCAGTCGTGGCTTGTCGTGGAAGTTCCTGCGCCAACCAGGCATCTGTGCATTTATGCTACTTACAGTAGGCAACGTGTTGCCTAGATGTCTTCACTGGAGGTTACTTGCTTGACTTCTCCCCAAACTGTAGCCGCCGCCTGTCTCCGTCGGCTACGCCTGGGAGGGATGTCCAGCAATTAACTTCTTGTAAAGAGCTTTCCTCTTGACGTTGGACATGTTCCTTTACTTGGAGCAAGGGAAAGAGTAGGCGAGCGGTTTTGGGGGGCTAGACTGTGTACGGAGCAATTTAACTGTACCCACGGGACGAGGAGCTAGAATTTACACGAGCCACTTGATGCCCTAAATTGAGCCGGCTTTACTGTCAGATGGATAGCAATAACACTTGAGGACAGGCGGTCTGTTAGTTTCCATCTCTGGCTGACTTGGAGTTGTATTATTCCAAACCATTATGCTGAGACTTACGGTTAATTTTTGTGCTGTGTAGTGAGAATTCTGTTGTTGTGACAAGATGATCCTCTTAACCTGGATAAACTGAACTCGTCGTCTGTCTGTTTCGATAATCACCTGTCTCAGCTGCTGCTTCTTGAAGGTTCTCCCAAACCGCATACATGTTCCGAAGACGACTCAATAGGGACGTAGCTTTGCTAATCTTTTACAGTCCTAGAAATGAACGAGGCATGCGGAGTTAAGGGGGCGAGTTTGGGAATCTAGACAGCCCACCGTAAAGCCAAGCCTCTCGAACACCATCTCCTCGACGGCCTCGAGGAACATAAACTTTTCGTACGTCTCTCAAATAACCTCCACGGGGGTCGAACAACACCACTTAAGGCAATCAGCCATCGACAGTGAGTGGGTCAAACTGACAGACCTCTACCTCCCCCTGATTGATGCCGCCATCCTATCTGGCAGTCAAGTGGCCTAACCGAGTGCCTGCGGTCCTATCTACCTACACTCTTGCCCTGAGCGATTTGGCTCTACCCACGGGACCAAGAGCTATCCGAATGGTCATGAAGACCTCAACACCACACGTAAAATCTGCCTGGTACTGCCTGAGATACTTAAAATTTTATAGCTTTTTGGAGGGCAGTTGAGTCTAAAAACAAGTACAATGCAATCTACGCCTATGAGAGAAGTCCAGCAGTAATTCTACTCTACACCTCATGGCAACACGCGGCCTACTGTTGCAACACACGCTCACACATGCTGCTTACGCTGCTGACCTAAACACACTGCTGCTCCTTACGTAATATGCAACACCACATCACAAAGCCCTGATAGCAAATGAGTGGGAGCGCGCTCATGCCTGCTTCTGTCCTACAAATCAACATCCTGCCAACACCCGCCGGAACAGCGATGGGTATGCGCCAAGATATGCGCACCATCATTTGAATCCCACTTCTGACATCATAACTGCAACCTCGACATTACCAATCGCGTACAAAACGCCTACCTTCCTGCATCTGCACTGCGAAAGATCATGTCCCTATCGCTTCCGTTGCGGTCCATCTAGATATGTGAGTATACGGGCTGGGGCACACGCGCGAGGGCCCGGTACCTAGTCTTCCCCTGTGCCACCATCAGCATGTTGCCCTTCCTTAGTAGATGGATGATTGAACGTTGCGGCGCCGCAACTTATGCACCGCACATCTGCTGCTGCTAACTGCTCACGCGGCACCATCCTGGCAACTGAAAAAACGTCTGGCTTCGTCAAAAAGCAAAGCATGCCAAACAGCTAAAGCCCACGCACCCTAGCCACCTCAAGGCTCCTGCAATAACTGAACTGTAACATCAGTAGTAGTGACGACTCTGCTCTACTCTCCTTACGCCGCCACGTTGAACATGAGCTCCCGGGCCACTGCGACAACAAAATCAGGAAATCAAGTAAATCAAGGCATGGCAGACAGCATCGTGAACAATCAGAATACACCCCATAAAACACTACTTCCAGTTGCGCCCAACGACTCAATGAACCCAACCCCAGCCATGGAAGCCACTACCCAACCCAGTCATTACCCCAGCCTTGCCAGCAACAGGGCATGAAGGCCACGCGGTCATGAGCGCCGACATCGAATGGGAAACCAAAGGGGATTCGGAGGATTTGCCAAAGTGAATTCATCCGTGCACAAATGTGATTCACAAGTTGGGCCCCGTTGGGCCCCTATAAATTAAAACCGAGTTACGACAGGACCGCAGGAGCCGTTATGATTACGAAACGGAAAAAACGACCTTATACATCCTATTAGCATCCGGAGCAGCTTAGACCGAAGCTTTCGCATCAGCGATCTTACCGCTCGAAATTGGAGACATGCGGCGAGCCGCGTCCAGGTCCTCGACGCCATTCGCCGAACCGACTCGCGGCAAGGACATGTTCGCCAGCGTCTCCTGCACCGAAGCGACGTTCACCTCGGGCGAGAGATTGACTGCAGGCGACAGCGGTGTGTGCACTGGGCTGGGAGTGCTGGCAAGCTGCGACATGGCCATCGGGCTGCGGGCACCCTGGGCAGCCGCAACTGCGTGATGAGCTGCATGGCCGCTGTGGTGGGAATGATGCGCTGAACCAGGTCCGTTGTTGGTGCGGGTGCCCAGCTGCTCTGCAAACATGACCTTCAGCCGCTGGTTCGAGTGCGGCGGAAACTCAATGCCGTTCAGCTGCGCAACGGCGGTTGCTGCGGCCTCCGGGGTCGAATAATTCACGAAGCAGAAGCCCTGCAAATAAGAATGTTAAGAATTCAACCAACGAGCGAAGAAACTACCACGTCCTACGCGCTTCACCGCGGCTGTCACAGGCTGCGATGCTCCGGGCTGCTAGGCGACACCCACCTTAGACCTGCCCGTGGCTGGGTCCTTCTTAAGGTCGCAATACTCCATTCCATTGAACTTTCGGAACAGGCGAGCCAGCACGTCCTGAGTGACGCTCTGCAGGGGATTACAGTGCAGCGCAACATGTCAAGAGGATTACATGCTAAAATGATGCGATCGACGATCGGACGACACCATACGTAGAGGACAAACTGGATACGGCCTTTGCGCGCACCGCAACTGAACTGCCGCGCCCGTGGTTGGAAGCTACTTTGCAATTCCCCCCGGTCACTTTTCGCACCTTGTGAACCACCACGAACAGACGCTGCTTGCTCAGTGTGGGCGAATCGTGTGGGGTCACTGCAGCGCGGGGTTCGCGGGACACGGAGATGTAATGACGAAATCCAAATCATGATTGTAATACAAAAAATACAGCTGGAAATGCGATCAAAATTTGCTGTTATTTTGACAAACCTCACCATTAGTAGAGTTGGTGTGAAGCCCTCCAAGGCCCATGTTGAAATTGAGGGCACCAACCTGCAACACAAGAGGCATATATCAATGTCCGGCATAGGGATCACTGCATCTTTCACGCCGCGCGCACAGTGGTGGCTTCGTTACAAAACGTAGACGCGCCAACGTTCCAGGGCGCTTTCGCGTCCCCTGCATGAAGGACAGGCATATACGGATGTATCTGCCCAGCTGATGAAGCACCACGTTCCAAGTTTCCCGCCCACCTGAGCCGAAAGGTGCGACTGCATGTTGGCCAGGTTCGCAGCTTCACCCAGATGGTTGAAGCTGCTCAGCCCACCCAAGCCGCCGAGACCCGAAATCGCGGTGTAGTCGGCAACGGCCATCGGTGAAGGGGACAGAGCTACAGATGGGGACAGAGGGGACAGAGCTACAGATGAAGAGGATGCATGTAATTAATTACAACTGGACCAAACACTATTCGATGCAATCAACACTGAACCCCCATACGATCGGAAATCCCAGGACCTGTTTTAAGTGGGCAGCTGTTCGCCCTATACACTTTGGCAATATTCGACACGAGGACCCAAAGACTTGGCATGCGGCAATGGAAACCACCTGGCGCGGCGGGTCACGGCAGCAAGCTCACGCTAAAAAGTTTCATTGAACATTCATTGAACCAGCACCAACCAGCGTACCGTGACCCATCGGCAAGTCAAGGGGCATGTGCGCCGCATCCGGCGGCAGATGGTGGTTAATCCCATAATCCAGCTTAGCACCCTGCTGGGAAAGAAGTACAGTTTAGGGACCGATTGAGGAAACAGCGGGGCCCAGCGTAGGATTGACCGGAACAGACAAGTTCACGTTCGCAACAGCTATGAAGTCATGCGGAAAACGGTGTAACGCTCACCTGGGTCAAGGGGGAAAACACGTCCTGCGGCGATCCATCGCCGCGGCCACGCTTGGTCTTCGGCTCCGCGAGCATACACTTGACTTTGTACGGGCCAACCTGAGGATGAAAACCAAGGCCGGGTAACATCAGAGCACATGCAGGCTAAGAACGAAGTTATACACGCCAACGCAGCAGCAGACTCGTTCGGATAGGCTTACCGTGCTGCGAGAAGCAACATCCTCCAAAGCACGCAGAGCAAAGGAGGCCTTGGTGAACTTGCAGAACACCACTCCCTTGCTAGCGATGAGGTCAGTCTTGCAGTACTCGAGACCATCGTAGGCCGCCATCGAATCCTGCAAGCAGCAACTCGCATGATGTACTTGAGACCGTACTTCACGTGAGACGTGCTACCCGCGCGACACTTACATTAATATGCTGCGGGTCCGCCTGCTTTGGCACCACAATGAAAAGCCGGGATCGAGGCGGAATATTATCGGGATCAGAGCTGATCTCCTGCTCGGCGGGCCTCGGCGGGTGCATGCCCCTGCATAGGAGGCACGCTTCAGTAAAGAGGAAGCACCGAAATTGCATTAAGTAAGCCTACAATCATTGAGATACAAAATGGCCCAGGGGCATAGGCGAAAACTCTACACAGTCGTGAAGCGCAACGATCGATGCGCGGCGGCGTATGCGCACTCTTCGTCAGTAACGCAAGCGATAGACACGTAACAGCTAAGTGAATTATCTAATAGCATATGGCTTTAGTTAACGAATCAGGTCGCCGAAACTTGATAAATACACTTGCGACGCACCTCGATGTATTTGGGGCCTCCGCCAACAGGACCTTGAGCTTGGGGCCCCGACCATTGTTCAGCACAGCCCCATTCAGGTTCTCCATAGCAAGAGCGGCTGAAGATGCCTTATCATACTTGACATAAGCCACTGCAAAGGTAGACCGTGGGAAGAAGTTCGTCATGATCAGTACCGGGTTCCTAAGGGCCATGGCGCTCGCACTTAAAATTGCCAGCAAGCATCCAAGCGGCTTTACAGATGAGGAGAACGAAGATGGGTATCACGTAGGAGACATAAGCGCGCGCCAGCCAGACTTGCTGCCAGAAACGACGATCAGCAAGCGCCAGGGCAGCTCTCAGCTAGGTCGGCCTTAAAGCCCACGCCTGTCTAACCAACTGACCTCCTTTCTCACGAATGACCTTAACGTTTTGAACATTGCCATACGGACGAAAAGCGCCTTGCAGCGTTTCAGCCTGCGAGGGCACAGGCGAGGGACGCACGGCGTCTGCGAGCCGCCTCCTCCCCGTTCTCTCCAACCATCTCGTTCATGCCCACCTCCACATTCTTGCCACATACAATAAAGAGCCGACTCCCCGGCGGAGCGTCGACTGACTCCATAGTGCTGTCAAAAAGACTCCGGCCCCCGAGGGCACGGCTAAATGCCTCACAAACGCCCTCTTAGAGCGTCATCCACTACTTCAAGATATTTTTCTTATTCGAAAGGCTGTGCGAGGACTGGCGGCTGGACTGGAGGCTTTATGAAGGCGCAGGTGGAGGTCGCCCGTCGTACAGTTGTGTTGCAGGACGCCCAAGAATAGTACACTGCGCTTTCACTTTCGGTCGATCCCATATACGCGTCCGATGATGGTATGCTTGTTGTCGGTCAGTGCAGTTTGCGACTGCCGCGGAGCTTCGCATACTGAACACAGTTTATGGGAATCCTCGATCGAGGCAAAGCCCTTCGTGTATACCAAAAACTTGTTGTAGATATTAGATGTAAGCTCATCTTGTGCTCATTATATGCCGACTAGCCCGATGCCTGTGCTTTGTTTTTACAAAGCGCCAAAGCCGCAACACAATGTAAAAGCATACCGCCATATTATATCACTTTAAATACTTCGGGTTATGAAGCATCCGCTGAGGTGCGGCAATGGAAACGCTGCGATTAAGCAGCGTATTTGGGAGAACCGTTTCCAGCGCACGAACGGCCTATATACCCCTTTCGTCTAATAATGAATGCGAAAGCGGCTTGCTTGGTGGACATTCCGCTTGTTGTGCGTTTGTCTGCTAACTGGAATAGCTTTGCCCTCTTAAATACTTGATATTCAAGAGGTACAGGCTATCCTTGAAAATCTTTTTTACATGATTAGGTTATTGGTGACCATGTCGAGGAGCAAGATGACAGCGCGCTAACAATATGGCGCCGGACTGAAATTATCCTCCCGTGTTGCCCCACGGAGAACATCTGCCCTGAAGGATTTGGAAAACCAATTTCTAAGGGATATTTTTTCGATTCCCTGATGAAAGTTACGTGCATGCAATACATGTACTGGTACATGTATACATCTCCTCAGTGCTATGAAATTAACACATATGCATAGGACACTAGTCATTACTCTCTTCATAGCGAGCTTGTAATTGCGAGACACTTGGCTAAGCTCAAATTGCGAGTACTTCCACAAGCTTGCTACATTTATTCCAGCTGGGAACTCCATAGGCTTTAATAGGATATCGTTACGCTTCCATAGGGACGATGCAGCCAGTATAGCCTTCGGGTGCCATGGGATATGGCGTGGCACTCAACAAGAAACCTCCTCACAACTGATGGAAGCCTAAACGGAAGTCGCATCTTACTCTCGTAGCTGATTTGTCAAAAACACCACCGAAAGGGAAGGGGAATAAAAAGGACCGAGGACCGCTGCTTGCCGCGCATGCGGAGGCGCTTCGAACGGGCTTGGGCACGGTGGGCGCGTTTCAATCAATTTTATCCTTGTGCAGGACGCAGTAATTATTCAACTGCATACCAGTTTCCTGTTTTACGGTTGTCTGCAGGCACCCGATGGGCAAGTCATCAAGGGCAAGCTGACGGCTGCCCTAAACATTTGGAGCATGGTGCTGGGTGCTGAAGAAGAGGTGGGTGATAATTAAGCATGGACCTCGTGCAACCTCGGGCTTCAGCTGCAAGTTGCGAATGCGAAGTCCACCTTTCGGCACGCCTCCACCGACGTCAGCCCGCGATCGCCCGCCTGAACCCTGGCCGCGGGTGGGCACCGCCCTTGCGGGGAACCTGCCCATTACACCCGACCCACGCGGGTTCGTCCTGAGCTTCACCATCAGCCCCATCTTCACAGGGGATGTCCCCCTTGCGATGTTATTTGTGGCTGCTGTGAGAGCCGTGACGTTGGACAAAGCGGGGCCCCGTGGCCCCCTGCTTCCCGGCAGCCTGGTTGCAAGCGTTGGAGCCTTTATTCCCAGGGTTAAGGAATCAGGGCGCATTGCTAGTTCGGGCTCCTATGAGCGACTGGTGTCAAAGATGCATCGGAACACGCACTTATCAACCACCACCACTAACATCCAACGCTTGCCTAGACGGGCACCGCGCACATTTCCAGATACGATTTTTTTGTCGGCAGTGCTGCTAATCCTGTCCTTTACTGCTGCTGTGGTTGTTGCAGCGTGAGGAGGTGTTTAAAGCCGGCATCTGCCCCGTGCTGCACGTTTTGTTGGAGCGGGGGGATGTGGAGGAACGCCACGCAGCCATGGGCTGTCTAGCGGTGCTGGCTCAGAGCGAAAAGCACGTGGCAGAGGTTGTCACAAACAGGGTAAGAATAAGGCTCTCGCTCCGGAAAAGCGGGTGGGTTTAGGGATTGGAAGAGCAAAGGTTTTCATCCCCCAGCCTAGCATGTTTAGAAATTTCATAGCTTTGCGTGCTGACCGTAACCACATCAACCACAGGATGGGTTTACGTGCTCCCTTGCATTCCGTCTCAACTACTTGTTCGTCCGTATGTGGGTCGAACCGGCGACATTACAGAAGGGCCGAATATGGCACTGTCGTGTCCTTCCGCGAGTGCGCATGCGCGTGTATTTGTGTGCATTTTCTACGTGAATGTTTTCGTACGGACGCACGTTGGAACGCCCATCAGCCACTACGGACGGTAGCTTTTTGATGGGTGTTGACCGCCCAACGAGAACTGACGAGGGCACGTCTCCATGGCCATGGGAACATGCCACCCACATATCCCAATGCCAGCTGATGGCAACGGATAGGCCCGAGGCCATGCCAGTATGTACTCACCTTTGGAGGGCACCTTGGCACGCAGCTGAGACGTGATTGAGATGGGTGATGCCTGCGCCCGTGCTGCACCCACGCAGCAGCCACACATTGACTAAAGCGGCTCAAGGCCGGTGATAGAAACCTTGGATTGCCTGTGCTGATGATGGTGGGAACCCCACCTACGGGCCCACCACGGCCCCCACCATGAGCCCACCACCAGGCCATGCGATGTAGGGAGGCGTTCTGGAGGCTTAGATTATTGGCTGATGGCCATGGCGAGGTCATGCCGGCATCGCCATTAAACGTGATTTGTCAAGTTAGGAAATTACGATGGATCGTGGTGGGCGGGGATGCGGACGAAGCTCTAGCAAAATGATGGCTATCCCGCACCAGTGATTTTTTTGGGTAATATCTTACTTTTTACACTGTCCCGCGCTGGTCACCCGTACCCCACCGCAGGTGATTGGTGCCTCTGCGGCGTTGCTGATGTGCGATCACGCACGCGGCAAGCTACCAGCCGTACAGCTGCTACGACTTTGCGCGGCGCGACAGGACTTCTCAGCCAAGGTGCGCACCACCATTCCATTCCACCATGTTGCCTATGGTGGTTTTGGATGCAGTATGTTAGCGCTCGCGGTAATTAGGTGATGGTGGGTGTTGTTGGGTAACAAAGTGAACGCAACGCACCCGTAACTGCACCGTGCCATACAGAACGGGTCGGGTTTCCGCTCAGAGGATGATGTTTGGCGCGTGTGGTCTGACACGATGTGTGTGTATGTATGTGTGTGTCTGTAACACATCGATCCGGGCCTGACGCTGGCCAGGGGCACCTAACCGTATACCCCAACGGCAACAACCGCCGAAGCAGTCTCCCCCTAGCGGGAGGAGTGGAACAATATACAATACAATATACAAAAACAACATAGAGGTAATCTCTGCACCAGCGGTACTGTCCGGATCAGGGACAGGAGGACGTCCAGCTGGCGGACAGAGCTCCCAAGGGACAGAATCGAATGACCCAGATCGTCCATTGCGTTTTTTAATTAACTAGGAACCATTGAGTTTTTTTAATTAGGAAGAAACCCCCCAGGTCGCTTGTTTTAGCCAAGACGCGAAGCCACACCGCGAAAACGTTTCCAGCTTTCGGGATTATGGACTCGGAATAAGCCTCCTACGGGGGTGACCTCATCCAGAAAGAGTGGGCGTATGAGCTCAACTCTCTCTTGCTGGTCAGCAGAGCTTGCCGAGGGACACGCCACGTGGCGGGAGACTCGGCCATAAGATTGCCACAAGATCGTATGTGCAAAGATGATCAGGGGCTTCCCGAACCATAGGAAGACATCAGCGCACTCTTGCCGTACTTCGTGCCGTACTTGTTTACATTGATGCGGGTGGATAGCCCCGGTGGAACGTCCGCATGCTTTTCTAGTCTAGAACACTGGGTGCCCGGTCCACCGGGGACTAAGTGCACGGATGGAGGGATATTTACTCGATTGACTTGGTGTGCTGCGGCGGCGGAAAGTGTTGCAGTAGAAAATCAGGGAGAACCCACAACCTTCCACACAGCCGAGGCGTATCGTTTATTTCCTAACTGACTAACTGACTGTCTGGTGAGCAGCTTGCCGGATGGAAGTCTAACCTATTTCTTCGATTTTGATAGCAATAACTTCATCCATGTTCTTGCCGCATATGATTATCGTTCATAGCGGTGAATTAGCTCATTAGCTCAGCATGACGTGTTGAGTTTGATCTTCCTGGTGAGCAGCGTAGCACGAGACTTGGACTAGGCGAGTTGGCTTGCCTGCTGGTTACCCCTCGGACTTGACTGGCTTGTTGGCTGTTGGCCTGTAATCCTTATAATCTGAGGGCGACTGGTTGGCGGATTCAGGTCGCTGATGTGGCTCTTCCGGCGCTGGTCGAGGTGCTAAAGAGCGATGGACTACCGGGCTGGGGCCAGATGCGGCAGGTAACGAAAGGGGCGCGGGTGAGGAAGGAGGGAAGAACTGAGCCGCGAAATGTTGTTGAAGTTTGGCGGAGTAATTGCGGAACCCTATCGCAAGGGCAGGGGTGTGTATGTATGTATGTATGTATGTATGTATGTATGTATGTATGTATGTATGTATGTATGTATGTATGTGAAAGCCAGTCCTTCCTTGGAAGTGTGCGCCTGCTCTCAGTGTGCAGGTCTTCAACAAGAGGAGGTTTTAAATCTGCCGAAGCCCTAAGCCTCGCTTCTTTGCACACGCCCCATTGGCCTTAACGTCGCATCGCGCGAGTACTCCGGCGCCTGGCTGTGACTGACTCGTAGGCATCGGGTGCTGTTCGAGACGACGTATCTTTCCCAAAGGGGAACTAAAGGGGTCCGACCTCCTGCACGAAACCCCCCAGGCACAGACCCACGCCGCCCACACGCTGAAATTATTGTTGGAAAACGTGGAAGGGGAGGTACCAGAGATACGGCAGGCGCGGCGGGCTGCCGTACTGCAGCTGGGCGCGGTCGCGCCGCTGGCGGCGATGGTGGCGTCGGCACCGCGGCTGCCGCCCCCGGCGCTGATGCCCGCACCGCCACCGGTGATGACGAAGAAGAAGGGCAAGGATGCGCGGAAGCATGCCCGCAAGGGGGAGGTGGGTGGCTGAGTACGGGCGGGACGCGGGGTTGTGGACACTGTGTTGCACCGGGATAACTCAACCAAGGAAAGGTAGATACGCACCCCGCCTTTTTGGGCTACTTTCCTCTTTTCCGCCGCCTCCGCTCTACTTCCCATTTCCACCTCTGGTAACAGCATCACTCGTCTGTGGTTCGTCTTTCCCCCAGCCCCCCCATTTCCTGTACGCATTCCGCGACCCCACGTGCCCTCTAGCTTCCTCTCTGCCACCATCCCTGTTCCTGGGACGCGTCCTCGCCTCAGAGCCGATAGCTTCGTAGTGGATTATATTGTATGACATATTGCAGATGCAATCCTCGCCGTGTTCCGGTGCCTTTGCCTCCGGTGCTATTTCCCCTTCCCTCCTCCCCTCTGTTCGACCGTCGTCCTATCACAGACGCCGCTGGGCGCCCGCGACGCAGCCGCCACAGTCGCGTCAGCCTGTCTGCGCTACCTCTCACTAGTACCGGAGTTCGTGGACGAATTCATGCGTAAGAATACGGCGGCGAGAGCAGTAGGCGGGGAGCGCGCGCGGAGGGATCCGCTCCGTTGTCATCGTTTGTTTTGCACTCTCTATTCGATGTTGTGTTGCACTCTCTATTCGATGTTGTGTTGCACTCTATATTCGATATTGTGTTGCACTCTATATTCGATATTGTGTTGCACTCTCTATTCGATGTTGTGTTGCACTCTCTATTCGATGTTGTGCGATGTTGAGAGAAGAGCGTCGCACGCTTGCGGCGCTTGTGTGCATCTATAGTTCTATATGTCTTATACATGTCCAATTAACTGTGCCTCGGGACAGTGGTGCGTATATGGTGTGGGTGTGTGTATGGGTGTGTATGGGTGTGGGCATGACTGATGTACGGATACACCTTTGGAGGGTAACGCAACGCAAGGTGTAGAGAGAGAGAGAGGTCTGCGTGTCTGGAAGCAAATAGAGTTGCCAGGACGCCAGGAGCCTTTGAAGCTTAGAGCCTCATCTGTTTGGAGCGATGCCCCTCCAAGAGGGTGCTCGGTAGCGTGCAGAAGTTGGGCTTTCCGGGGCCGCGGAGTCTATTTGCTGGCGCACTAGGGGGTTGGCGGACACTCCTCCGGGAAGTCGGCTTTTTATTGTCTGTGGCAAGAACGTTGATAGAGGTGGGCATGAGGGCAGGCTGCCCGGGAGTGGAGGGTGAGGAAGGGTGAGGAGAGGCGGCCGTCCGCACCATCCTTCGCCTGCACCCTTGCAGGCGGGAGGGTCGGGCCAAGTCGATTTTTCGGTCCAATCCGGATGATGCGCTGCGATAGAACTAAAATTTTACCTGCGAATAAAGGAAGCATCCTTCTTAGAGCATATGCCCCACTCCCTCCCTGCCCGGTCCCTTCCTGCCTTCCTCCCTCCCCCCCTCCCTCTCTTGCCCTGGCAGCAGCTTCACTCGCTTGTGGTTCGTCTTTCCCACCCCCCCTGCTTATCTTTCTTCACAGGCACGGGCACGCTGCCCGGCATCATTCGGGGTCTCCATACGTGCGGTGAGGAGCAGGCCGCCTTCCTGACCGGCATCCTGTGGGAGACAACCGCAGAGGCACACGTGGCGGAGGCGGCAGTGGCGGCGGGAGCCGTGGTGGCGCTGTTACACGTCATCTCGAAAAACCTGGCGGGCTGCAAGATAGGTGAGGGGTCTCGGTGTGGCGCTTTCCTAATCAGGAAAAACTTTGCATGATTCCGCCCTCGCTGCCAAAACCACCCCATGCAACTGAACTGACAGCTCCCTAGGTTTCTCCTCCTCGGTTAAATTTGTTAAGCATCTTAGAATAGAAATTCGCCTGCTGGCACTGGGAATGTCCGTTCGGGCATTTTCTGATATCTTCGGTCCGCCTTTCCCCTTTCCCCGAACCCAAACCCCGGCCCCTGCACCGCTCAACCCGCGCGCATCTCGCGCAAAGGCAAGGCTAGGAAATCTTCCAAGGCGGCCAAGGGCGGAGACAAAAAAGACGGGCGGGGCAGTCGGGCGACGTCCCCGAAGCGGGACGGCAAGGACGGAAAAGACGGCAAAGGCGGCAAGGGCGGCAAAGGTGGGTGGGTGGACATGCATACATGCGTGCATGGTGGGCAAATGCATGTATGCATGTATGCATGTCCAAAGCTGCAAATCCTATCTGTCGGCTTTAAGGGGGCCCGTCCGCGCCTTGCCTTGCACGTTCTACTCCACCTCCCTCCTTCCGCCCGCGATTGGCACTTTGCTTTTGGCTGCATATGAATCCTCCTCCCCTCCTCCCCCCGCTAGGTAAGGGCTCGGGCCCTGCGGGTGAGCCTGTGAACTTTCCGGATGCGGCGGTGTGCAACGCGACTGGGGCGCTGCAGCACCTCACCTTCCTGGATGACGCCAAGCACCAGGTCGGTGGCTGGCTGGCTGGCTGGGTAGCTGGGTAGCTGGCTGGGTAGCGGTGGGGTGCAGCAGCGCTGTGCGCCGTGACGGGTGCTTGGGTCAGGTCCGAACACTCCGTCCGAACTAAGTCTCTCCGTGTTTGCTCTTCCTTCAGGGAGATGCTTCCGGATCTGTTGTAGTCGCTGTTCCTGAAACCTGACCACACGCCCACACACAACACAAAACTGCCTGTCTAGTTTTAATATTCTTTTACCCCCTCTCCCTCCTCCTCCCCCTCCTCCTCCGCCATGCCGGAGCAGGTGGCCCTACACGGCGGTGTACCCATTCTGAGTGCCGCACTCAAGATCTCCAACCCCCAGACCTACGAAAACGCCTCCGGGGCGCTGTGGAACGTGGGCCTGGATGTGCGGAACAGCCTCATGCTGCAGGTGCATGCGCATGCGCGTGTGTTTTAACAAACCGATCCGCCAGGAGTTCGTAAGCGCTGTCATGCGCGTGCGTGGGCGCTGTGAGTGGTAGGGCTATGAAGTGTTTGTAGTACACGGGAGCCCGGGCGTCTTCTGGGGTCCTTTTCCCCCCTCCCCTCATCCCTCTTCAGGCCTCTCTTTTCTTCCCATCCTCACGGCCTCTAAGGCGCCCCCCTCTGCTGCTTATCCTCACCCCCCACGCCCCGCGCGCTCTTTTGTCTCAGGCTGCTGGTGCGCCCACCTTCCTGGCTCGCCCCGTGCCCCCCACCTGGCTCACAAGGGGTGATGAGCTGCCGGGTGGCAGCGACAGTGACGACAGCGACGCGGCCGAGGAGGTCGCTGCCCGGGAGCATGAGCGACCCTCCCCCCCCCGCCCGGAGCACCACCACCCGGTCAGAGATCGCGTGTTCCTCACACAGCTGGTGTGAACACTGCATGCGCGCGCGCGTGTGCGAGTGTGTGTATTTAGGTTGTACCATTTGTGCGCCATCATCAAATCGTCATTCATCAACATCATTGATCATCGTCATTATCAAGATCACCGCGGGGACGTACGGCATCCGTAACGGCTTCATCAGTCTTTTTTAGGTTGTAGATATCATCATCATCGTTATTACCGTTATCATCATGATTACATGAGTCATCATCGCGACGACGACCAGATGATGAACCTAGTCATCGTCATCGTCAGCATGACTGTGCGTGTAGCGTGGTCGTGACTGGGTTATGGAATGGCCATGTACATAAATACATAGCAGACGCTCCCGCGTATCTACATGATTTGTATAATGGTGTGGTGGTAATGTTAATGTGATGATGGAAAAGCTTTTGGTGTTGCCATTCATTAGTCCTAGTTGGGTGTCGAGGTCGGAAAGGAAGGGGGAGGTGATGGGGTGAGGGTGGGAAGAGGGTCGCAAGGCAGGGGGATGTGGAGAGCAGAGTCACAGGGCGCGTAGGTTGGAGCGGCCAATGGGTGCTTTCTGTCGGAGGCCTTGCCGGGAAAGAACTTCTCGGGAAGGGTATCCTGGATTTTGTACGGAAAAATAAAATGATGAGACCTCTTGACACCCGGGTTTGGGAGGTAAGGTTAGATTGTCCAGGGAGGTGAGAAGCAGCTCGGCACGATTGTATGACTGGGCCGGAAACTGCGACATCTAAAAACCAGGTCAAGTTTAATCTTGGCGGCTTGCAGACAGGGGCTGCCATGGTATCGGTGGTAATAATGGCAGGCTGCCTCAACCGGCGTTAAGGGTGGGAGTGGCGTGTGTACGGTGTACAGAAAAGTGACTTTGTGCGTGTTGGAAGCATCATGAGAAGGCGCGTCGCACCGTTACTGGTTGCGCAGAAAAGTATCAGGAAGGAAGTTCTCGGTGGCGCGTGATGCTTGACAAATGTACGTATACAGCTTCACGGCCACACTTCACGAGATGCGAAGCTTGAGGCACTCATGGGATTGGGCTTATGACTTTGGCTGATGTGGGTTTGGGTGCACACGACATGTAGACATGTCGGAAAGGCATATTCGTTGATCATGCCAGCCATAACATGGCGTATGCTAGGAATGCTTAATTCTTTGCAACACGTGCTAGCTTCAAAATCACACTAGTGTCATGCGTGGACTGAAGCTTCGCAAAGGTGTTGCGGTTTTCTTTGTCTAAGTGATCTAATCTAAGCCTAGCCTTGTGTACTCCTTACATGTGTATTATGTTTCTGCATAATATTCACCTGGCACTGTGCTTTTCTGTATGAAGTGGCCAGTACGGCACTGTAAAAGTCGGCCATATGCACATTTACGGAAACTATCCAAGTACTGGACATTCTGATGTTAAGGACTTCAAAGCTTTGAGAACAAATCCTTATGCTACGACCTGTTAAGTATATCTATCTACTTTACATACAAGCCGGTTTCTCCACTGGTGAACCCAGAAACGTGTAACATTATACTAATCCAATAATACATGAAAGTTGCAGTCCGTAATGTATGCATATTCATGGAGTGGTCAGTTATCAGCAGCATTATGCTCCACCCTGGGCAGAACGTGGCACGCGGACTAATATAACTTTTAACAAGCCATGCATATACATTGTCTTCAAGGGAAAAGGCTGCAGGCGACCAAGGCGAGCATGACGAGCTTCCGTACAATCCTATTGGTACCCGGAGCCCAAGGCGCATCAGTACATGCTTAACGACTGCTGTAATAATTCGCGTGATCAACGTTACATCACTGAATTGGGAGGGGATTGCACGCGAACTACTTTCATCGCCTTGAAAAATGCTCGTATCTTCTTCGACGCGCTGCATGGGCAGCCGCAAAGCTGCCTCGCACATGTACATGCCATCATCCTGTCAAGTAAGCGCGTGGCGCATCACTCGTCGCCGTGTGGCGGTGGAGGTGCGGGCATCGTCAGCCGAGCCTGCCAGCGTCGATCGACGCCTAGCCCTGGCCTTGGGCGCCGCAGCAGCGATTAGCATCAATGGATTAGCTACACCCAGTAGGTATGTCCTACGCAATTAGCCATGCTAATTGCAATTGATCCGAGCACACCACAAACTATGGATGTGCAGATACTCGACATAGATTACCGAATTGCTGCAAAATACCTACTTACTCTCCTGCCTATATTCAGTGCTTCTGCTGAAGAGGAGCCAGTGGTAACCCAGAAAGTCTTCTTTGATGTCTCTGTCGGCGGAAAACCTGCTGGCCGTATCGTTATGGGCCTCTATGGCGAAGTCGTCCCTAAAACAGTCGACAACTTTGTTGCCCTTGGTGAGCCCCTTCTGGTTGTTGGATCTTGCGCCACTCCCATCAAGCATACGAGTACACGTCAGCGCCACGCTATCAGAAAGGAGAAACCGCACCATATTCCCCATATCAACCCAATCATAAGGCCGTCGGATTTGGGGCAGCCTTGCACCAAGGTGCAAGCATGGCACCCGTCACCTATCAGCTACGACATTTCACACACAAAGGCTATATTTCGCATTTCTATACATATATTAACGCTTTACCCCACCATACCCTCCCCCACTGCATATGATGTCCCTTGCCCACCTAGCGACCCGTCATTCCGAGACCAAAGCAAGCCAACCCCACCCACCCCGGCTGCCATTCTTCACACAAGACAACGCCCCCCCATACACTTCCCATCACACCACACACACATCCCCCCTCTGCCCATCCCCATCCCCAGCTACCGGCGAGAAGGGCTTCGGATACAAGGGCTGCACCTTCCACCGCATCATTAAGAACTTCGTCATTCAGGTCGGTCGGACTCCAGGGAGGGAGGAGCAGAAGGGCCCTTACTGAAGGCCCGGGAAGGGGGGAAAAGAGACCCTAGTTTTCCGTCCCCAGAGTCAGGGCGCTCTCTGTGGGATCTGGGGACTGGGCGGGCCGGGACTAGGCCAGGGAGGGGCCATAGGGCCCAGATTCCAAACGGGGGTGAAAATACCGCTCCTAGCTCCAGGGACACCTAGCGTGTATCCCGTGTACAGATTGCGGGGTGGGGAGAGTTGCAGGGAGGGCTCCCGGGCCGGGGGGGGGGGTATCCTTGGCGCCATAACGCGGTGGAGATGATTTAAGAGGAGATTGGGCGCTACGGCAGACTATGCCCTGTTTGTCTGTATATGTGTGGTGTGTGTGTTTGCCGGGTTTACAGCATGAAGAGGACTAGGGGGCTCAAACATGCCATGCATGATCTTTGCTTGGTGCGGCACCGTACATTCTCTAATGGAAATTACACCGAAATGCCCCAATGATGCTGTTGCGGATGCGCCACTGCGGCGCTGACGTCATCAGGGAGGTGACTTTGAGCGCGGCAACGGCACGGGCGGCTACAGCATTTACGGAAGGTGAGTGGGCCCGCGCGCGACGACGCTTCCATTGTGTTTTGGGGTTTTAGGGTTTTAGGGTGACTCCTGCGGGTTTAGACCAACCCTTGCCTCCCTCATTGTAAGAGGGGTTTAGCTCCCTTGGCATCTCTCTGAGTACTCTTTGCCTGGTGTTACATTTCCCCCCCACACACACACCGACTTCAACTCACCCGCCACCCGTTCCCCCCCTGACCACCCCGCTTACGACACTTGCAAAGTGTGTGTGTACTTCTCCAGCCGATAAGGTGGTGGGCATGTACGGCAACCTAGAAGCATTCCACGGCGTATCATATGCTCCTTAATTTGCACTGGGATTTTTTGTACGGCCGTATCTCGAGCTCTCAAGCTCATGGCCTCAACCGGGTAGCCGCTCGCCAGTTCGTACTGAAAAAACGTCTACCGTACACTGTATGTCGTACCGTACGGCTCATTAGTGGTTGTACGGCATGTCCAACCCTCAGGCGGTTCCCGGACGAGAACTTCAAACTGCTTCATGCCCCCGGAGTGCTGTCCATGGCAAATGCAGGTCCCAACACCAACGGCAGCCAGTAAGTACCTGTCTACAGTTGCCTTCCGTACACATGGCCCATGCCGTACGGTCTACAAAATGAGGCTTAAGTTTCGCATCTGCAAATTTCTACCTCGCATCGGACTGACTGACGGGAAAGGCGTTTCTGATGCTAAGATAACCACACCGCCATCCGCCTGAGCGTTTTTTCCAGATGCGAAGGGAGGAGATGGGGGTTGGGATCGAAGGGGAGAACACCCCGGGGGCAGAGGAGTTTCGGAAGAGATAGGTGTTGGGTGGGAGAGGACTTAAACTCTCTTTTTTTCAAGGGGAGAATCTTCACGGGGGTTACCTTTACCGGGGGGTTATGCACCCCCCTCTCCGCACCTCGTACTACCCGTATCCCATCACCCTTTCCGGGTCACTCCGGGGGTTGTCTCGACCCCGCCAGCAGGCAGATGGGGGCAGATGGGGGAGGTAACCCCCCCCCCGGGGGAGGGGGTTCTACGTCTGGTACACTCTTGCCCTGGCAGCAGCTTCACTCGTGTGTGGTTCGTCTTCCCCCCCCCGGCTTTGTTCTCAACTGAGCCCATGTCTGTGTGAGTGTCTCCCAACTGACTGAACGAACGACTGGACGAATTAGTGTGTGTGTATGACGTGCTGTCGTACTACCTGCCACCACGTCACCAGGTTTTTCATCACCACGGTGGATACCCCGTGGCTCAACGGTCGCCATGGTGAGGCGCGTGTGTGTGTGTGTGTGTGTGTGTGTTGGGGGGGAAGGAGGGGGAGCTGTGTGTGCGTAGTATTATGTGATGGGGGAGGGTACTGAGGCTAGCGGTGTCATTAGAGGGACCAGGTTCAGTGTGTGTTCGGTTGTGCGGCTCGTTTACGGAGGGGGGTGGGTGGGGAGGAGAGGAAACGGGGGATGTCGGTCTGCTCAACAACAGGTTTGTTTCCTATCTGGCGGGGTGTCGTTCTGTGTGACGCCTCTGTACCCGAGTATGCTATGTCCTATAATCATCTTCGGAGCCGCGATCAGAGCTCATCCGTATATGTATCCGTTGTCGTACACGGCTGAATGACTTCAAACCGGAGCGGCAGCTCCGAATGGCCACATCATGGCCATGCATATATATGTACATGTATATATATGTACATGTACATGTACATATATACATGTATATATATATATATATATATATATATATATATATATATATATATATATATATATATATATATATATATATATATAGAGAGAGAGAGACCCAGAGAGAAAGAGTGACAGAGAGGGGCAGGGGGAGGGTGGAGTGCGAGATCGAGAGCGGCACGGGGTGTCATGCAAGTAGTAGGGGGAGAGGCGAGGGGCAGGGTTTTCGGCTGCCTTCGGGACCCCCCCCCCCCCCACACACACACACGGCCCTTCCTTGGTCCTTATCTGTACCCACATCTGTACCCATTAATTTCATCGCAACTGCTACGCATGTACGACAGTGGTCTTTGGACGGGTTCTGGAGGGCATGGATGTCGTACACAGCCTGGAGGACGTCCCGGTGGACCGGAGTGCCAGGTGCGTGTGTGTGTTTTTGTATGTGTATGTACGGCGAGTCTGGGGTTGCGGGGGACGGGAATAATGGGGTTGGCGAGGGCTTCGCTAAAGGGGTTTCTGTATGTGTGCAATACCAACAAGCCAAATGCTAATAGGCTGCATGCTTCGAAAAAGTTAACGAGGCTTTGGTGAACGAGATTTTATCAATACAAACCCGAAGTGATGCTTTGGTTTTGAGTTTTGCTTGCTTTGCTACTTCACGCAGGCCGTCTCAACCCGTCGTCATCGACAACTGCGGCCTTCTGGCCGCCTGAGCATCGTCTCCTCCACCCCTACCCCAGCTAGCCATCCCCTCCGTACCTGGACATGGAGTACGAAGCTGGGGGCCTGAGGGAGAGGTGAAGTCCAAGTTGCAAAGCTGGGGCCCGCATGTGTACGCCGTACAGTCGTACAGTCATAGGTAGTTAGGTGTCGAAGAGTCTGCGGATTTGTACGGCGGTCGGAGGGGCCGGGTGGTGGTCAGGATCGCAGTTGATGGGTGCGTCAGATAGTTGTGTAGATACAAACATTCGTACAGACCCAGATACGTACATACATACTCCGTACAAATGGCCTGACGCGCCTGATGGTCGTCAGGATGGGATAGTACGACTTGGTAGTTAAGTGGTTCGGAGCTGCCGGTATTTAAAAAACAGCGAGGAGCGGCTGGCTATTGGAAATTGCCTGTCGTACATCTATCCGTCAATCAATCTGTTTGTCTGTATCTGTATCTATCTGTGTCTGTCCCCCCCACGGTTCTCGAGTAAGCATGCTTTCGTACAGCAGGTGGTTAGTTTAGTTTTGAATGACATCAGCAGTTTTGCGGGGAGCTTAAGTTTTGCAGTGCGCATGTACGGCGTAAGCCTATTTAGGAAATTTGGTTGGGAGATGCTTTGACAAGGAGGGAAAAGTGTTAGTCTTTGTGTTGCCAAATGTGGCAACTTAGTGATGGATGGCGAAGGGGGCCCAATATGAGGATGGTGAATGATGTAGAGTAGTGTCACCAGGTGGGGTATGGGGATTTGCTTTAGCACAGACAGGTGTTTGAATGTACAGCTGAATGGACGTACGAGCTCTCGACGCGATATACGGAAGTGGTTACGCAGGAAGAGAACTGTGCTCATCGATTTCGACCTGACCCAAAAAAGTACTTTCACTCTCCTCTATTTGTACGATGGCTTCGCAGCCACTTAACAGCCACAGGAATAAAAAAGGTAGGTTTCAGAAGAAATGGATTTCAGACGGGTCTCAGGAAACTTGTCCTTGTCCTTGACTCGATTTATTTATATTATATTTCTCGTGTCAGGTACTACCGGGCAACGGAATCCGCTGCATGGCGTCACGGCAGCATGCCAGGACGTTGCGCTGTCTCACACACAAAAAAGTAGTAGAGGACCCGAAACTCGGAAGGAAACACATAAAACGTTAAGTTTTTAGCCTGAAATAAATTTTCTGCTATCTAAATTAGCCACACTGCGTCTTTAAGCAGCCCCTCGCACAAATGTGTCCGGTCGTACTTCGCGAATAAAGCCTAAGTACATCTCGTCCCAAAAGTCAGGAGCGAATTTTGCCGCGCAGATGCGCGCGTGCGATTCTCAAAATGCGCCTGTACAAGTGTATGTAATTTTTTCGGCGAAAGGCCGCTCATCAGGGCATGTTGGCCGAGTCACAAGCGGCATGCATCTCGGACTTTTGGCTGGCTGCTTAGCCTGAGCCGAATAAGATATGAAAAGATATGAAAGCATACAACGTAGCTTGCAAGAATGGCCACATGCAACGGCTGCCGGAAGAGGAAGCGTTTGGCGACACATTTTTGAAAGCACCGCCCACCCGGCCTGAGCTCAACCTGGCTGTTGCCGCGGACGGGACCCCACTGGACTATCAGTTTGGCATGTCTGCGGAGATGGCCATGTTCCCCTATCTGTTTCCCTTTGGTGTTGGCGCAGCCCGGGCCTTCTACGCCATGAGCCAACCACGCGCCAGCAGCACCCACACACCCACCGCCGTCACAGTCCAAGACGATGACGCCCCAGCCACGCTTGCCTAGCCCACACAGCAACTGAACACTTAACGCTTGACGGATAAAGTCCCACAATTTCGGCGCTAGGCTTCTGGACATTGAGCGGTGCTGTTGGATTTGGGCACGGTCGCACTTAGGGTTTCATTCACGGTGCATACATATCCAACATTAACTCGTGTGTGAACGGCTTGGGATGGTCTATTGCATAAGCGTTCGGAGTTAAAGGAGAGCCCGCTGCGCTCCTTTCTATGTCCGCTCGTCGCGTGCTCGGGGGCTACCAACTTGCCCCCGAGCACGTGACGAGCGGACAAGTTCACCCATCATGTTGCCTGTTCTGGCATGGCCATCCACGCGCGACAGGGAACTTGAACCTAGGCCTTTATCTTCGTTCCTACATCATAGCAAGAACCGACGCGACGTGGCCTGTGCACGAGCTGTTCCTGTGATGATGTTCTTCATCTTCTTCTAATTGTGGTTCCTGTTGTTCTTGCATACGCGCGCGCGCGAAGACAGAACTACAAGTACATTGCACCGTGCGCCAAACACCCTGTAACCAGCTTCCACTAAACAGCTTCGACACTAATCTCACATTCCAATATGCCACTGCACTTTCCTCTCCAGCCTGGCCACATTCTCTTCCTCGCAAACGTACTTGGGCACCTTACAATCCAACACCATACGTGCTTTGGAAACGCGGGCAGCTGCTTCACAAGGGCCCCCCTATTTACATCTGCTAAAGGCTAAGTCCAGGGTACGGATAAATGACCCATATACGGATAAATGACCCACATCAGGAATGAAATTTCACCCCGCTAGCTACTGCCGCGCGTATCTTCATCTCCCCACATACCTTGGGCCTACAAATCTGCCCCGCCAGCGAGCAAAGTGAAGGAGAAGCCGAAGCAAGGACTCGGACACAACATGGCGATAGATAGCCGTAGTACGTATCTAGGCGTGTCGTCGCCTCGATTGTCCTGGATGTCGGAGTGACGGGCGGACACACGTCGACCGCGGTGGTGATTATATGGGTGTTGTTCTTGTTCGTACACATGCATACACACATACCGTCGTACTCAACGTACTACACATATAACCCGTGCGGAGCTGAAAGGAACCCTAGAAATCGCAGGACACAAAAATCTTTTGTTTGTTGGTGGTTGTTGGTTGCTTTTACCTGCCCATGGGCACTTGAAGGCGAGGTGGTGTAGTATATGGCCGCTTAGAAGGCCCCTCCCAAGATGCTGCAGCTGGCGCAGCACCTTCGCGCACATTTGTTGATAATCTGTGTACCGTACTGTATGTGTACCAGCTATTACATATGGGTAGATGGGTGACCGTTGCTGTCCTGGGAAGCACTGGTAAATGGTGGATATGAAGGAGGTGGAGAAGAAGATGGTGTAGATGGAGATGGTGGAGATGAAGGAGATCGAGGTGGTGGAGGAGGAGATGGTGGAGATGAAGGAGATGAAGAAGGAAGTGGAGGAGATGGTGGAGATGGAGGTGGAGGAGATGGTGGAGATGGAGGTGGAGGAGGAGGAGATGGTGGAGATGGAGGTGGAGGAGGAGGAGATGGTGGAGATGGAGGTGGAGGAGGAGGAGATGGTGGAGATGAAGAAGGAAGTGGAGGAGATGGTGGAGATGGAGGAGGAGATGGTGAAGATGAAGAAGGAAGTGGAGGAGATGGTGGAGATGAAGAAGGAAGTGAAGGAGATGGTGGAGATGGAGGAGGTGGAGAAGGAGATGGTGGAGATGGAGGAGGTGGAGATGAAGGAAGTGAAGGAGATGGTGGAGATGAAGGAGATGGTGGAGATGGAGGAGGTGGAGAAGGAGATGGTGGAGATGGAGGAGGTGGAGATGAAGGAAGTGAAGGAGATGGTGGAGATGAAGGAGATGGTGGAGATGGAGGAGGTGGAGAAGGAGATGGTGGAGATGGAGGAGGTGGAGAAGGAGATGGTGGAGATGGAGGAGGTGGAGAAGGAGATGGTGGAGATGAAGTGGTGAAATAGAGGTGAATAAAAGAAGGCTTAAAGGAGGAGGACGGCGGTAGAGAGAGGAGGGTGTGGAGGACGGCAAGCGAGTGTGAAATGTAACCGGGCCGGCAGTGGTGGATCAGTTCCTATCTGCAGCGGCTTGCTTGTACGGCGGTGTCGGCGATGGCGATCATGGATGGTCGTTTGACAGCATTGGCGCTCGTCCACCTTGCCTCCACGTCATCATCATCAATCATCACCATCATCATCATCATCATCATCATCATCATCATCATTAATCATCACCATCACCATCATCATCATCATCATCAATCATCACCATCATCATCATCATCATCATCATTAATCATCACCATCATCATCATCATCATCATCATTAATCATCATCATCATCATCATCATCATCATCATCATCATCATCATCATCATTAATCATCATCATCATCATCATCATCATCATCATCATCATCATCATCATCATCATCATCATTAATCATCATCATCATCATCATCATCATCATCATCATTAATCATCATCATCATCATCATCATCATCATCATCATCATCATCATCATCATCATCATCATCATCATCATCATCATCATCATCGTCGTCGTCGTCGTGAGGTACAAGATCCACAAAGCGCGCACCAGCAGGTCGCCATGACGCGTGAGGCTTCCGAAGCTGTTCATGCTGTTGGTGTCGACGAACCTGAAGTGAGGCCAGTCCACGGAGGGAGATCGTAAGAGATGTATCTGACTACGTTACCAAATGACCACCAGTGCCGGCGGGTGAGATTACTTCCTTATGAGCTCGTAGATCAATCTCGAGACGCACCGGCCAGGATGGCCCCTAACTAGCTTCTTAACAGGGTCACATTATCACACACACCTAAGTATCGTTCGGAAGAAAGAAAGGACATGGAGCATGTATGCAGGACACAGCCGGTCATGCAGCAGAGGTCATGCAGCAGGGCACGCAAGAGGTGCGAACAGCAGGGCGCATAACGAAGGCCCGAGGTGCGGGGCGTGTAGCTGCAGCAGGGAGCTGAGGTGCGGGTTCAGCAGGTCAGACACGATGCCAGGCTTAGGTGGGGTTCAGATAACAGCGCTCAGGCGCTGATCTCTCAGACGACCAGCAGCGAACGTCAGATTTCATCTCGAGTACTTTGAGCGCTTTCCGAAAGCGATGAGCAAACGACAAAGAAGCTGCTGCTGCTGCAGCACATTTGCAAGGTATCGATCGAGCAAATCCCCCACCGGCTCAAAGCGCATATGATGTAACAGTGTTCCGCCCCGGACAGCGTTACCAGGACTATGAAAGGGCTTGCAAGATGCTCATTTGTTCATGCCGATTTTGCCTCATAATCTTGAAATTAGCATTAAAATGTTGACGTGGTTGCGGCGGAAAGATAGAATTATTGGCGTCAGTGGCGCCGAGGTGGCCGAACCATCCCAGAGCCATCAGCATCTTCCGACATCAGCGATATTGGTAATATTGGCATGCCGATTCGCATTATCAAGATCTGCACAAGGTAGGAGATGCATCCAGCGCGCATTCGCGCAAGCGTTAGCCTTGTGAACGCCGTATAAGCGCCTTTCAGACACAGCGACATTGGATATGCCACAACTTCGTGAGAAAATGCATTATCGTCGCTTTCTTTTCAGTAAAATCAGGCGAAGTGGTAAATGGACAGCATGGTTCGTCGTGGCAGCAGATGTGACAGCCTGTGCTTATGAAGGCCAACGTCTAGGACATTTGCGATGTAGGAGCTGATTCATAATGTAAGAATGTTTTACTATCCATACCTGGCGCTTAGGAGCCACGGTGAAGGCATGCCGACTTTAGTCGTGCGGCAAGGCCTGCACGCCAAGCCAAGCAACCGAGGCGAATCGATCGTCGTGCGGCATCGTCGTGCGGCATGGTGGAGCGAGAAGTATTCCTCTGTGTGTAACGCCTAAAGATAAAAAGGAAAATCGTACGAGACTGTGATTTTATGGCAGGTCTTGGTCGGTCTGGCGGGCCTTATCGCGGGCCTTATCCCGTCACGCAAGCTGGCGGAGGCCCTGAGTATCACCACAACGTGTGCTGCTGCATGTATAGTGCTGCTGCATGTATAGTGCTGCTGCCTGTAATGTGATGTTTTCTGGAGTTGAGGGCTGACAAGCTGGGAAATGCTAGCCGGATCAGTGTCACCTGTCACCTCTTCCGTCCCGTCTATAGCCTCTGGAGTGCTCGCTTGCCCAATAAGCTAAAGCTTGTACTGTATTATTACCAGTGAAACGCTTTGCTTTGCAGGATATTGGAAACCTCTCAAGCTTCCCACTGCTTGTCTTCTCTATCTTTGCGGCCAGTCAGGCCCGTTGCCTCGTGATAACCTCAATGGGTTTGAGTTTTAGGACACAGCAAATGCTCGAGTTACATTTTCACCTGGCAGGGAAGCCGGATGATTCGGCCGTTTCGAGTCATCCGAATGCTGGGGACAAGCAAAATGCTGGGGGGACGACCTAGGACACCAGGGCGACCAACAAACTGGTGGAAAACAAAAAAATGAAGGAAACATTTATAAGTGGTAAGCCATGCTTAATTGCGTATTGCGCTATGCTTCCCTAGGAAACGTCAGCAAAGTGAATGCGAGTTTCCCGGACCGTGCGCACAAGTGACAGCTCAGCTAGATGTTCATGTAATGTTCGTGCAGAACATTTTGTATATTAGGTTCACATAAGCGCATGGCTGGGGATAGCAGCTCCTCGTCTTCCTGAAGGCCGACATATGAGCGGGCCAACATATGGCGCTGCAAGCAGGCCGAACGAGCAGATAAAAGGTATCCATAAAACTACGATGCCATATCTATGATGCTGAATTTGCAATTGCTGGATTAGTTGGCATCTTGTCGCCTCGGGTGGCAACCACGCATTTTCGAATTTACGTTAAGCCAGCCGCATTACATTGCATGAATGAATCTAATATGTATTTTGTACGTTAAATCGCTGAAGCACCGCTTAGCCTGTTAGTTAGCTCTAGGGCTCCTCAATGTCGACGAATTTGCAAGCCCGCTGTGCAAAAGAGTCGAGCTGTTATGCTAATAATTTCATACATTAGTTTTATAAACATAAATAAAAATTTACTCCGGAGATGCGGCATGTATGCGATACGGTGGCAGTATACCAAGCCGGGTAGGGCGAGGCTGAAAGCCAGTTTTAAGCAACGCAAATGTAAGCACAGTACCGGATTTTTAATACATAGCTCAAGTCACTAGACTTGCTGCTTTGTCCCCTTGCTCTTTCCTTCATTTCAGTTAGACGAGATCGCTTCAATGCATGCTTTAGCTTGGCTTTGGCAGTTTTCCCCCATGCGGAACCCCTTACGACGGTATTGTGTGTAATCTTATTGTTAATAGTGTTGTAGTTCTCAATCAGGCATGGCGGGGGCTTCGCAGCACCTTTCATCAAGTTTTATTTATCCTGGGTGCGCGCGGGGCCGCGCACTTCCTAGCGAGCCAGTACATTCATTGCGGCCGATGTTGCATATGGTCATACATGCATCCTCACATTCGCCTTCCCGGTGTCCTTAACATTATCTGAGAAGATGGAAGCTATGACTCAGATCCGCAAGAGGGGGACCCCGGCCTCACTCCTGTGCAGCCGGCAGGCGAAGGCGTTGCTAAAGCTAACCACCATTAGGACCGTTAAACGAGCGGATGGACGTCATTGGCCGAGCCGCAGCATTTACGGCTCTTATTCTGCATAATTCACCGGTCGATTATTATCACTACGACCAGCTATCGTGGTTGTCCTACGATAGCCTGGTACTGACTGGCGTGTATCGATTGCTTAAGCGGTCAGAAGCCCAGTCAACTCAGCCCAGTCAACTCAGCCCAGCGACCCGGTTCAAATAGGAGCCATGGGTGGATCGACGCACGGAATGAGAAATCAGCCTCATCACAACATGGACACTTGAGATGTCCGTACGTAAGAGGGACAAAGGGCGAGCTTTCATGGGTTGTAACACGCATACAAGCCTTGGCTGTGTGCTCCTAACTACAGTCTAGTGCCGTTATCACAACGAGTCGAGGTATACGGGGCGAGGTGCAGGTACGTGTACGGACATGCACCCTGCCTCGCTCGAGTTGACCTTACTTCTCAACCAGAGTTCCACATTCCGACTTTCAATCGTTCCTTGTTGGGGCGCGACGGGAAAGAAAAGGATGACGGGCAAGACGCACGCATTCGTGCAGTGGGGTGGGTGCCCTCCTATCCTGCTGTGCTCCCTCCTTCCCTCCATCCCTCCTTTCCAACTTCGCACCTTCCAGTTTTCCCTTCTCCCGTCCTCCCGCCTTTCCCTTCCCAGTCCCTGAATGTGAAACCAATCATTGAGCTCTTAAGTGACGTCTATCCTTTGAGATCTGAGTTCATATCCTGCCTGGCCCCGAATTTGAAGATGTGATCCTTGTTTGGGCGATGGCAATTGCAACAGCAATGGGAATGACAGTCTAGCACCCGAGTCCACTCCGGTGATCGACACTTGGAGCCGCTCTCGTATTCTGTCGGACACTACCCGGGATGGTACGCACTATGAAAACACGGGCCCGGTGGGAACTGCGCAGCTTCAGGCGCTGCTTCAGGCACTGTGCAGGACAGATGGTGGCGATGGTGACAGCTTCTGACGCGGCATAGATTACTATGGATAGGCGGCCTCAGGCTTGGAGTTTTTGTGCGAGCTTCTCGCTGATGCAGCGACGGGTGCACGTGCACAGCTGATCGTTCCAGCGGTGGCGTTGCCAAAAAAGCTCGACGTACAACTTGAGGCGATCTCTTGAGATTGAAAAGACAGTTAGAAACCATGAGGACTGGCGGAAGCTCGGCGTTGGGGGCATCAATGGCCCGGCAAGCGGTGACCAAACGGACGAGAGTTGGTTACTTCAGTTAGTTTTGAATCCACAACGGCTAAGGTTTCCCTTATGGACCTTGCCTTATCGACGCGGCGTTTGGGTTTGGCTTGTTGGCATAGTCAGGATACCATATCGATAACTTAGGATCTGTGACACGATTTTTCTGCATAAATGCAGTTTTGGGGGCAGCAAGGCTTTCCCTAGACGTTATCGTAAGATCATCAATGCTGAAAGAAGTAGCTTATGCATGTAAGGAATAGTATCATCCGATGTCAGCGGCGGCGGTGGCATTCTGTCGTGGCACCGGCATCGGCATTGCACACACCGGCGCCTTCTGTTCGCCGCTAGCCAGCTTCAAACCACCTCGCTGCTTTAATTATCTACATAATAGTTCTGCAGCTGCTACAGAAGCCTCTGACCGTGCTTTCTTCCAGCCTAAAGCCAAACCATTTTACTTGGCCGGCGCCCGAACTGGTGACGACAAGCAAGCTGCGGACCGTGCCTTCCTTAGAGGCCACTGGCCCTACGTATCACTTCTGGGTGTCGCAGCTGCGGCGGCGCTGGCCTACAGGTGCAGCGATGTCGTGGTTTCGATTGACACCCCTTACGTCCTTTGCCCGCGTCTCTCGGGCTTGCCTCTAAGGAAGAGATGCATATGAGCTGAACATGCACCAAACATACATCCTATTCCACGTGCTGCGGGACGCAAATGTATCCAAATCAAAACCGCAACCCCGCTCCCCAATCAGTCCAAGCGACCTGTATTCGGCGCTTCCGCATCCTCCCCAGTCCTACCCTGATGCGTATAAGCCTCCCCTTAGCGAGGACGGCCTATCGATGCGGTGGTGCTGGCACCACCATGCCTACCGCAGCAAAGAGTACGCGCACTCCAGTTCTGCTAACACTACCGTAGTGCGCCATGGCGCCTCAGCCTACTCAAAACAATCCCGCAGCCTTCGGCGGCCTTTTGGATGCGTTTTTCGTCTTTTTTATCCTCGCCAGTCCAGTGTTAGTCCTTTTACAACCTACATGCTGTCACCTAATGCATGGATCTTCATCATCTCATTCCATCACTGCGCTATTCTTCTGATCGCCGAATCCTGGTGGGCTCATCCGCACAGGACGTTTCGCGAGCCGGTGGTGACCCAGCGTGTGTTTCTGGACTTTGAAGTTGATGGACAGCCAGTGGGCCGCGTGGTGGTGGGGCTGTTTGGGCGGGAGGCGCCGCTGACCTGCGAGAATTTTGCAGCCCTGGGTGGGTTGAGGTTGCAGCCCTGGGTGGGTTGAGGTTGCAGCCCTGGGTGGGTTGAGGTTGCAGCCCTGGGTGGGTTGAGGTTGCAGCCCTGGGTGGTTGGTTGGGTTGAGGTTCGGGCACGTGTGGGGGGTAGTAAAGGTCCAAGTTGGGGCCGTTGTGAATGGATGATGCGGGATGCCGCGGGGTAGGCGCGGGCAGCTGGCGCCGCCGAGTAAATAAGTTTTTAGCTAGACGAGGCCAAGTACCATTCAGAAGTTATTGAATTCAGCGTAATATCGCTTAAAAATCACTGTTTGGATGTTCTGTCTTGTGCGGATGTTTCTGTTTTGTACGGTAACAGAACGATATAGGGCCTGATCGGATTTGTTGGAAATCTGTAAATACCATGTTTATGGGGCGATCTTTTGGGGCATGTCAATTCGCCAATCCAGCTCGCGTCCCCATCCAATTTATAAGTAACTCCATATGTATATCCATATCACTGTGTCGCCTTTTGGCTTCATTACCCTGTGACGTGGGAATCCTCAACCTTCCCCCCGCTATGCTGTACGACAGCCTCACATAAGCGTGGGTTCGGCTACCGAGGCTGCGCCGTCCATTGGGTCGCGAGGGGCTGGTCGGTTTGGAGCGGTGACGTGACGGAGGGAAATGGCAGGGGCGGCGTCAGCGTGTTTGGGCCGAGTTTCGGAGTGGAAACCCTGGATGTACGGCACCGACGTGGCAGCGTGTCCATGGTTTTGGACGAGGAAGGGCGGCTCCGAAGCCAGTGAGTACGAGCGCCGGGTGCCGTTGTGAAGACAGTTAAACAAAGAGAGAGGGGGGAAAAGAGAGAGGGGGGAGGATGAAAGAGATTTGCAAGGCGCGGGAGAGCATGAAGAGTATGTGTGTGTATGTGTGTGTGTATTTATGTGAGTGTACGGGAGGATAGCGCGCGCATGCGGGGAGCGCGGCGGAAAATGAGGAGCCGGTAGATGGACAGACCTCAAAGGAAGGAAGGGCAGCATGCTTGAGCGTAATGGGTCTCTTAGACAGGTTCCCCCCCCCGTTTGTTCTGCTTCTTGTACAGTCTTTCCTTGGCAGCAGCTTCAACCGTTCGTGGTTCGTCCTTTTCCCCCATTTGCTAGCGACCCCGGATAGACACGCTATGGACATGGGGTTGGGGTCCCTTGGGAGGTCCGTACAACACCACGAAGAAGACGGCGAAGAGGGGGAGGAGGAGGGGGAGCGGGTGGGGAAGACGCACCATGGCCACGTCCTTTCCTCCCCGCGCCTCAGCTATCTCATCAAACCACACGAAGTCACATACATAGATAGCGACCATTCAAACACACACAGAGAGACATGCATGTAACGAAATCGCCTTTTATTTTTGGATTTCATGCTCGTAGCTCCCATACGATGTCACCACGGTCACAAGTACAACCGAATCTCAAACATGTCGGTAAAGTGGTCTTAACAGCAGAATGTCATGAGCCCTTCTCGATAATGCCGTTTGCCCTCTTTTACAACCTATGCTACTGCTGCTGTTGCTGCTACTGCTGCTGCCTCCGTCGCATCTGGCCTCGCAACCTCTTCCCCACCCCCCGCCCTTCATCCTAGGTTCTTCTTCACGTTGGTCACCACACCAGGCCTGAACCGCAAAGCAGGTATGTGGGTGTGGGTGTGGGTGTGGGTGTGGGTGTGGGTGTGGGTGTGGGGGGGAAGTGGAGGGGACGCGCACCTCTGCTGGTTTGTGTGTGTCCCTGGATTTCAGCTTTTGGGGGCTGGGGATTTAGATCTGGATTTTGGTATGCTGCGGATGTAGAGCGCCCTTGACCGTCGACACCTGCTGGCTGGGAGGTGCGCGTCGAGGCCTGGCGAAAACCATTCTTTTATTCCATGTGTCGACCTGTTAGGATGTGTTTTTATTACCTCACATTCTTCGGTCCGGAATTGCTAGATACACACTATCTCTTTGCCAACTTATTCGCACGTCGCTCTGGCTGCGGTGTGCTGCTGCCACCACCCTCTGACAGCTGCGTTTGGACGCGTGCTGGAAGGCTTGGAGGTTTTGGAGCGGCTGTCTAATTTGCCAATAATTGCAGAGGGAGACGAAGAGGGCGCTGCTGTGGGGGGCCACCCTCGAGCGGAAGTGCGGGTGCGGGACAGCGGAGTATTGCCAGAGGCGGCGGCGGGCGCGGGGACGGGTTGGGGCGCTGTGGATTCGCCGGGCGTTGGACGGGCTTAAAAGGCAATGCAAAAGTCTTTTACGATCCCGCAGGTATAATTTACAAACGATAAAATTTCCCGCCATCTGGCCCAGACAAGGGGGCTCGCCGTATATGTATAGCGACACCAAATTCAAGGTGCAATGGAACAGATCATGGATTATCGCAGGAAACGCGTCTGTAGGGAGAATTAATGCGTATGTGGAAAATCTTTGCATGAAAAATATTGATAGAAGATGTTCGCGTCAAAATGTGACGACCAGAAATCGATTGGTGTTTTTGTAATAAGTGCGATTTTCACTTTAGATGCCATCGCCTTAATAGTACATGCAACTTATCCTCAACCCTGGGAGCACTTTTGGGGCATTAGTCCCCCAAGCCTGTACGCAGACGAGCAACCCCCGACTACCTGTTATGACTACTTTCGCATAATTTCAGCTTCTAACTGCTCTAAATACGTTAGCAAGGAACTTCCTGTTGCTTTGCAAAGCTGCATACTTGATGGCTCTGGCGTTTTGATTTTACAGCGAGACAACAAGAAAGCCTTTAGCTACAATAATACTGACGAGCAGCAACATCTACAACTGCTGCTGGGCACGGCAATTTATGTGCTCCGAGTTGTGGGGCCGGACGGTGTATGGCTGCTGGAACCTACTTACTGCCAGCCCGACCTCGCATGTGCGACGTACTCCTTCACCACGCCTGGACGCTATTCGCTGGAGGTGCTCATGCTGTACACCAGCTTTTCCTTCTCTAACCCTGGAGCAGCGATACCTGTGCCGGCGCCTTGGGCGGGTTACTTGACCCTGGAGCTTGAACAGATACCGAATAAGATCGCCGACTCCACGACAGACCGGAGTTGGGCCCTCCACCTGCCGTCATGGCTTCGGTCTTGGTGGGTGTCACCACAAGCTCCAACTTCAGGTGTTAGCAGTCTGCGGCTGGCATCTTGGACTTCGATGCCTGACTCCTCAGTGCTGACACAGGATGGCATTCACATGGCAGCGGCGAGGGGCCACAAGGTGGCTAAAAGAGCACGTTGGTGGCAGCAACAGGATCGGAATGAAGGGGAGCCAGTTGACGGCGACGATGCCACTTTGCCGCTATGTAGTAAGACGGGCATGCACCCAGGGCGGTGGCGGTTCAGGTCCTGGCCGACAGCTGATGACGCGGCACCGCTGCTGCGCACCTGCATTTGGGGGAGCGAAGCTCCGCTCCTGGACAACTGCAACGCCACCGCACGATTAGGCCTACGCACTCAACCTCACCCAGCGACCCTCTACTGGCAGCCGTACGGCTGCCGTATGTCTGATGTCGCCGGTCTGCATGACACCATGGCTTCTGGTTTGGCAACTCCACCCTCGCTGGCCCCGGGTGACCTCATAACACAGGAGACCTGCTTCCCTCCGGGACGCCATGTGTGTTTCGTGGGGGACTCGCACATGCGCTACCTGCACAACAGCCTGGTGATGTGGCTTAGCAATACCATAATGTCCGTTAACAATGACGATAAAACTGTCCTGGGATCAGAACGGGTTTCATTCTTCAGTGTCAAATGGGGTGCCGACTGGCCAAACAGCCAAGGCCTCGACCCAACCGATAACTGCACCGACGTTCTTGCCAACGTGGGACAGTGGCCCGCCTCATTTCAGGCCGGCGTGGCACCGCGAAGTGCCGCCGCCTATGTGGCGAGTGTCGTACATGTGCGACGGAAGCTACTGGCATTACGGCGCTCCACGCGCAGTGGCGGTGTTCGCGTGTTTTGGGTTACGACGAGTCTGCCGTCGCTGCAGACGCACTTGGAGCTGGCAGGCAAGGACTGGCGTACGGAACCGTACTTGCTGATGTACAACCGTCTGGCGTTGGATGTGATGCATGGCGAGCTGATGGTGGATGCGGATCTGTTGGGGTACGGGGAGGGGTGTGATGGCAATTGTGACAGCAATGGGAATGACAGTCTAGCACCCGAGTCCATTCCGGTGATCGACACCTGGAGCCCCTCTCGTATTCTGTCGGACAGTACCCGGGATGGTACGCACTATGAAAACACGGGCCCGGTGGGAATTGCCCAGCTTCAGGCACTGCTTCAGGCGCTGTGCAGGATAGATGGTGGCGACGGCCGTTGACACTGCCATGGAAAGGGGTGAGGGCAAATTGGAGGCTGCGTTGGAGCTTTCCGTAATAGCTGTCACTCTTGTCACTTGCTTTCTCGGTTGTGCGGGCACGTACAGCTGATTTTCCTGTAAGGATTCTTTGCCCGACGGAAACACTTTGCTTGTGGATGCCATGCTGGTGCTAGCTTATCTGGGGAACGGAACGATAGACATGAAGGAAAGGCATTTGTGCACCCATGATGAGTGGGACGGAAATGGTATTTAATAAAGGGGTATTGGTTGCGACGGTTAGGGTGTATGTGCCGGAACTGGCGATGACAAGCAAGCTGTGAACAGTGGCTGCCTGTGTGAGTTCGTTGGCGCTACACGTCACTCATGGGCGTGGCAGTGGGGCGGCACTGACGCAGTACAGGTGCGTGGGAGCAATCGGATGCCTTACGATTTCTGAATTTCCTCATGTCAAACTTCGTGCTTCCCTTTAGTTCATCCAATAAAGGGGAACTAAAGTAATTTCATGCCTGTTAGGTTACGATCCACATGATGGTCTGCTCTCATGCGTGTCTTCTGCATCCTTTGCCTTGTTCCCTTACTGACGGGGCTATCCTTACGAAAATGACGCAGGCGAGGCTCGTATGCACCGATGTGGAGCGAGACGAAGAGGGCGCTGCTGTTGGGGGCCACCCTCGAGCGGAATTGCGGGTGCGGGACAGCGGAGTATTGCCAGAGGCGGCGGTGGGCGGGTTGGGGCATTGCGGATACACCAGATTAGCTTTTGAGTTGTGGGAGGAGGAATGGCCTCAGCTAGCTGCAAGCAAGGGGACGGGTTGGGTTTGCACACGTGTTTGCATGTTGCATCACGCATGGAGATGTCTTCTGGGACCGGGGGTCCACTTTGCCTGACAGCGTTTGCAAGTCAATCTTGTCGATTTTGTACGGACTCCGTTCGGTGGCGAGTGTAGGGCTGCCCTGGGTAGGTTGACAGGTTGCCCGTAACTGTACCCGTTGCAACTCTAGCAACACTGTAGACCTAGGGGTCGTGTGCTCGTACAACGCAGGCCATCCAGGCCCTTATTAATCCTAGCATGCTCCTCGCGCGTATGGAATCCTCCGGACTCGCGGGTATGGGAGCCGGAACAAATTAGCAAGAGAGGGAAATGGACACCCAACCCAAACACCCGCCAACCCCAAACCCCACGATACACGCCAGCGCTAAATGGCCTGCTCACCCAGGAACCGCAAGTGAACTACATACAAGTAGAAACAGATACATATGCCACGTATAAATTGATCCCCTTGCAACAAAGTTCATCGAGTTAAACTGCACACATATTACCCAGCTTTGCAATACCTCGCACCAGGGGGACTCTCCCCTGCTAGGTACAACACCACCCGAACATGGACGGCCGATGTACGCCATCCTGTCATAGCTATGGTAGCAAAATAAGGGACAGCGCGCACGTAAGAGAACATCCAGCCATCATGGCCCTCAAGCAACCACATGGGCTACTAATCACAGCACACGACATCTCTATACCAAAGGGCGGCCGTGAAGACCAAATCATCCCTGGCCGCGTAAATCCCCAACGACGGTACCCAGCTGCCTGGGCTCCTGTCTACACCCGGCCCCCAATAGTAACAGAGCCGTCTGCAGCAGCACGGCCCTGCTGCTGTCTGCATCCCCAGAACACTTGCAGAGGTTTGTATGCAAGCCACCGCCGCTTTGGCAGCAGCAGCAAACACGCAAGAGACTTTTATCTGTTTTCAGCCAACAGATAGAGGACCCGGCGACTGAATAGCCTATTCCTGGTAGCTGTATTCCCGGGGAATACAGCTCTATATCTCTACCTTAGGCGGTTAGCGACGGAGTGATCAGGGGTGCCGGAGAGCGCTTTGGGGGCATCCATGCAGGTGTATGCGTCGGCATGAAGGGCCCATACAAAACACTTGATATGTATGGACGTCATAGATTGCTGGGGTTTCAGACAGTTTCATACGGGTTTACGGGGTTTCGCAGAAGATAGTGGTTAAAAGTCGTAAACCATCTTCGCAGTAATACCGCATTGGCAGGCCCGCCATTGGGCACTCTATGTAGTTACGTCTGAAGATCACGTATCACTTTTTTAATACTCCGTTCATGTCTACTAAAGTTTGGCTTCACGTAGATTACAGAATGTATGACAAAGGAACGGGTGGAAAACGAAAAATGAACACATTTTTTTAATTTGTTCTCACGTCCCGGCTTATGGCCAAAACATAGAAACCTAAATAGGCAACACGACATGATCATCACGCCATGCCGGTCATGATGACCCCATGAAAGCGGGTTCTTGATGTCAACGACGCAGACATGGTTGTTTGCCGTTTACCGATGTACAATGACGAAGTTTGAGGGCGCACGTCGGAGCCTCAATTTTCTGTTTAAGCGTACTAACTGAGGCCGTGTGTCCAGTGAAGTTTGTACGGCCTGGCCGAGTTCTTTTTGAATAAGGCCCACAGTGTTGTGCGGGAGGCGCTCCTAGGGGCGCTGCACTCGACCCGTTCGGGGTCCACTGTAACAATCGCATCTCGATGGGACGTGTCGTCTCAACCTTATGCAAGTCGCAAAGCACATATAGCTATATATACCCGACCTCAACAAATATAAAATAGCCATACACAAATTGAAGCGGAAATCGAAAGCTCATACAACCACCGCCCCGCTGTGCACCTGCCTGCTGTTGTATCATCACCACAGTTCGTGTGGTAGTAATAAACATACCTTGGTAACGGGACAACCTGCAGACTCCCTGGATGCACAAGCAACGTGCATATCGCAGGAAGCTGAAGCATCAGGGACGAATTTATTTCGGGATGACTAGTCCACATGCCAGAAGGGGAGGGCAATTGGTGTCTGAGACACCTGGTCCCATTTCTGGGCGGGATACAGAAGATCTCGTCCTATATGGATACGGCCCAGACACAGGCAGCCATGGGTTCAACGTTTTCTCGTTTCCTGAAAATATCAACATGGCATTCAACAAGGCAGGCGGCTGGCAGAGGATAAGGCCTGGCTTCTGCTCCCGGCGCGTCCGGGTTCAAATCCGCCTGCCGACCTCTCGGGGTGTTTGAGAGGCGTTGAAATGGGAGGTGGCCCCCCATCTTGTGGACGGTGTAGGACGTGATAATATTAACTTGCGAGCTGACCAGGAACTAAGTTGACGCGCCGTTGATCTGCTAGATTTGGTTGGATGCCGGTGGTGAGTTGCCAAACTCAAAGAGTACACTCTGAAGTCGGATGGGGTGAATGGATTAGCGTGCCCCTCTAGCAGGGGAGAGCAGGGAACTGCCTCGGGAAGGAGGCCACTGGTGAAGCTTAACCACCCTGTAACAACATCAACATGGTGGGTAAAAAGCAAAGCGCTCATTGAATAGCATGTAAATGTTGCAAAGTTTGGCTGACGTGGCACCGCAAGGTGCTGAAACGAACCTATTGTGGCTAGATTGCAAAACAAATTGCGGGATGCGAGGCGAAGTGAACTCTTGCGTACGGTTTGCAACTACGTGCTGTTTGGGTTACGACGAGTCTGCCGTCGCTGCAGACGCACTTGGAGCTGGCAGGCAAGGACTGGCGTACGGAACCGTACTTGCTGATGTACAACCGTCTGGCGTTGGATGTGATGCATGGCTGGATGTGATGCATGGCGAGCGAATGGTGGATGCGGATCCAGTACTTCTCCAGAGGCCTCTGGCCCTACAGGTCACTCCTGAGCATGGAAGCTGCAGGGCCACTGGCCTACAGTTGCGCCGAGGTTGTGACTTCTTGTTTCCGTTACAGGCCTTCTAGCTTGCACATTCCTTGTATCGAAATCGTGATTGTTTGGGCGGCTACAGTCCACTTGCCTCTCCTTGTACTTCTTGGCTATTGTCCATGGTTTTAGCCTCTATTTGCCGGGCTTGTCCTCAACAGTCCTCAAGGCAACGGCGCAGACGTGTTTTGTATGCACCATTCAGGCTGAGTGTGGCACTTTTACGCGCTGAAAATAATTCATTCTCGACTATGACCCGTAGATCTGTGTAGGAGCGAGCTTAGGACTCTGTGCCGCAAATACCTGGATTTGGGTCGGCAGCGAATTTGGGTGTGGGTCCTCAGCCGATTTATATTTGGGTCTGCAGTTCATGTGGATTTCGGGGAATGGCTTTCAGGGTCGACGTGATTGTCTGCTGGTTATGGCGGCTTCAAGGTGAAGGTGCTGTTAATTACATGCGATGCGGATAGAGATTGAATGGAAGACGCAAATTTTACAGGCAGCTGCTAGCAGAGGGCCATGTTGGGTTTCAGTCTTGTGGGGTTACCCTGCGACATCCCGCCTTAATTGTGCGGGCGCGGACAAAGCGCCGGGTTCCGGGCTCCAATTAAGTTGCCAACTGACCCGTGAAGATCGCCAAAGTTATGGAATGTTGACCGACTGCAGCATGGCTGGTTTGAAACGAACTAAACATCGAGCTTCATAACGTTTGCTTCCAGGTCATTGTTGACAAGGCCGTGAAGGAAAGAGAACGGAGGCAAATAGTTTGGGTCGGTTGTACTACATTGCGTTGCGATATACCGAGTGCCACCTGCCACAATGTGCTGTTGTTGTAATCACCCATGAATCTGGACGATATTTAAGGCCGTGTCTACTATGTTTACCGAAATGCGACGATATGGATAAATACGAAACGTTGGCCCTACCATCTCCCCAGGGCGCCTTACCGAGTCACATCTCGTTCCATCTCGGGCGCTTTAGTGCCATCACGATGACCATGAATTAATATATCTACTGGCTACTGAGCGCTGAAATGGGACGGTTTCATGGCAGTCTTGCGGAGAACCTCACGGCCGAAGCTATGATACATGGCTGGGAGGCGATCTGTAAGCTTTGGCAAGCATCGTCGATGTTGGAAAGCAATGGAGTGGACGACCAGGCCATCGAAATAGCAGACAAGACTGTTCAGCAGGTCAGAGGGTTGGCGGTATGGTCCTGGAACTCGTTAACTTTACGTTGTGCAATTATTCAACAGCCCTTGCTGGCTTGGGGGCTTTAAGATGCCCTGGTTAAACTGTCGATACAAAATTTGAAAGGCGCATCCTTTTACGTTTCTGCTGCTTACCCTACAGAGAGGGCTGATTTGTCCAGGGCAGGGTGATTTGTGCACGATATCTCATATGACCTCTGCGCGATGCATGTGCTGATGTCCTTTGCTCGAGTGCTTTGCACGCACGCCTGAACATGCATTATAGCCGAGGCCGGCCTACCCCTCCATTCCATTACAGAATCTTCGGGATGCCGTAAAGCTGCTTGAGTCAGCGTTGGAGAAGTTCAGCTGTAATGTCATATACGGCATTACGGGCCAAATGTATAACCCGATAGTGCATGAACTAGACCACTCGGACCCTGAGCTCGAGGCGCTCCAGGTGAGTGAACAAATGAGCCATGGGTGCTGCGGATTTATGCCTTAGCTGTCGGCGGATACAAAATATTTCCCTCTTTTGACGGTGGGTATTCGGCCAGGTGCAGGAAACCTGAGATTAATTAGCTTACCCTCCACATTCATTTTGGAGATTTCCAAGGGCAATTGCGTATGCTTTCAGCTGAATGCGGTTGTTACAGTGGACCCCGTATGCTTTCAGCTGCATCTCGCTTCAAGCGCTTTCCGTACCGAAAGGGCGCGAGCAAACTGCTAGCACGTGCCTGGCATGCCGCCCGCGAGCTGGCAACATTGGTTCGGCTAGATGTTAGTGCCGCGTAAAGTAGCACCACAAGTAGCGACCTCGATGCCTGATTGGCAGTCGCACCTGAGTTGACAAAGCGTTCCCTTCGGCCCCCTAGTATTGCGTTGCTGGAGGCAGACAGCACCTCTACCGTTCACACGCGCCGCCAAATCCACTACACACAACAGAATTTTACATTTGCACTATCACTGACGTCTTCCCCATCGACCACTTACCAATCTCACAGCAACGGCAGGAAAATGTTGGCAGCAGTAGCGGCGGGGCGCTGAGCGACCCGCTATGCGGCGCTGCGGTTGCAACTGTGGTCCGGCCGGGCCTGGAAGTGTCGGGGATCTTACGTGCGCGACCCCGGGTACGGGTAAGTGAATGCACCGTAACTTCAGCAGCTGCTGCAGGCAGCCATATCCTGCTTGCCACATGCTCTCCACATCGCGTGACCCAGTTGCCCTGCGCCTTCCATGAAGTCACCCTCCTTTGCCTGACCCATTTGGGTCAACTTAGGGTTTTGCGTGAAACGGCAGCAACGGTGCGGTGGCGACCTGGTTGACATGATGCGCAATCAGCAAGGCAACAACACGTTTTAGATGGGAACCGCCTTACAATTACGGCTCCCACGTAACTTACTGCTTTCCTGTCGTGCACGCAATCGACCCTCTGCTATCACTATTCGCTTCCTATTACCAACTTACCAACACGCGATTATGCGATAACCATGTTGTGCAGGTGGCTCTGGTGTCCACCTCTGCAAGCCGTGCGATGATCCCCGGCGGCGCATCCGCCACACCTGCACAGAAACACCGGAATCAGCAAGAAGCCTGGCTGGCACCCTACGCGATTAAGGCTTCTTCAGAGCTTGGCGCCACGGAGTCTGACAACGCGGCCTTCGCAGATGCTCCTGTGCAGCTTGGTTACCTTGCTGCTGAGAGGGCTGCAGCCACATCCAGGCAAATGGGCCCTTCACCTCAGACCATCGCACCCAGCCCACCGGCGTCCACGGCCGCGGTTTCAGTGTCAGGGCCGGCCTCGGCTGGCGGCGACCCGCGTGGCACGGAGTATAGCGAAGGGTCTGTGACCTGGCGGGAATGGAGCCCAAGCTCCGACTCTGTGGACATGCAGGAGCAGGACCTGAACGCTGCGGCGGTTACAACGTCCAGCGGTCACAGGGCCACTCCTAGCGACATGACAGCAGACGCCAGCGTCCCCGCCGACAGCGATGTCCGCAATGGCGGCGGCGCAGCAATGGCGGCGCCAGGGACGGCGAGGTACACCGCTGCCGCTGTCAACGCTGGTGCTCGAGGTCCGCTGCAACTGTTGCTTGCCCTGCGCGCCGGACACGGTGGCAGTGGCAGCTGTGGCGCCACGACGGAAATTTGGAAGTGTAGCGCGGACGGGGCTGGTGGGGGGAAGCACACCGCAGAGAATGGCGGGGGACCGCCGGCCTGCAGCATTGGTGGGGTGCAAGAGGAGGCATGCAGGCGGAGCAGCGGCGCCAGCGGGGTTTCAGAGGCACCCGACGCGATGGCGTGTGGCTCAGACCCTGGGCTGCATGACACAGGGCCATTGAATGGTGAACTCCGTACTGCGTCGGACGACGACCGCGACAGCGGCCATGATGATGTGTACCACCAGCAGTACGATACCAACTTTCACCACGTTATGGGCCAATACGCACCGCAGTGGCCGCAACTGCCGCCGCTGCAACCTTTGCCGCCAGCGCTACTGCCGCAACCTCATAGTCACCAGCCGCAGGTGCAGTGGCAGCAGCCCCACCCGCAGGTGCTGGCCGCGGCAGCTCCCGGCGGCTATGGGGTCCCATCATCGTCCTCTGCGGTGCCCGTGCTGTTGGCTCTGACGCGAGCTGCAAACTGCGGGACGCCAGCGGGACGCGCATTCGTACCTGGGGTGGGCGTCTCATCTGGGCCAGCGCCCGCGTTTGTGGGGGACGCCGCTGGGGACAGGCTTTGTAATGCAGGGATAACTGGAGGCGGCTGGGATCCTGAAGGGCCACCAACCGCGGCAGCCGACAGCGTCGGCGGCGCGGCGGCTGCAATGTATGCGATGCCGGGAAGGGTGGGGCCGGCTAATGTGACCAACACAGTGCAAGATGCTTGCTCCAGAAGTTACAGCACTGCTGGCGCCAACGAGGGGGTCGGTGGTGGCTGTAGCAGTTGCAGCACGAACACGGCCCGACCAGCGGAGACCAGCAGTGCACTGTCCGGTGCGGCGGCGGCAGCGGCGCTGGTAACAGCCGCTGCCGTCCGGGCTGCAGCCGCAGCCGCGGCGGCCGCCGCACGGTCCGCCACAACGGCAGCTGGCTTGCCTCTGGGCTCCCGCACATCGATCGGCCGCGCCACCTCCACCTCGCAACCGCGGTATTCCGCTGCTTCTCCTGCTACCGTTCCGCAGGCGCCTGAGGCGACGCCTGCTTCTTTTGGCGATGCCGTAGCGCCTGCAGGTATCCTATGCGCTCCTCCTGCTGCTACGCATCCTTCAGGCAATGGCAGTGGTGCAGCTGCCGTACCCCCCGGCGGGTTCCGGACGGAGTCACCTGTAGATATCCCACCGCGGCTTAACAGGCAACCGTCGGTCTCTGTGGCGCAGCAGCGACCCCAGTCGCAACAGCACCCACCGTCGCGAAAGCACCGGCCTTGCAACGTACCGCCCACAGCTGTGGGCCGGGAGGTGGGAGTGGAGCCTGGCGATGCGCATGAGGCCGGGGGCGGGCTGGTCGGGGGCAGCGGGTGGACTCAGAGCCGGCCTGTGGCAGGGCTAGAAGACGTGGAAGGTGCGGCTCCGGGGCAGCAGCCGAACCCGGGCCGAGGCAAGCGCAGCACGGGGCTGCTGCAGCCACAACCACAGACCCACCACTACCACTACCACCAGCCTCAACAGCAAAAGCACCAGCAGCAGCAGCTGCTGCAGCAACCTCAGCATTCGCAGCAACAGCAAACGTTCGACGCGTCCTACAATCGCCATCATCAGCGGCAGCAGCAGCCCTCTGAGCGGGCTGACCGGCCGCGCCGGGCTAAAAGCCGTACCCAGCGGCGTGAGCAATACGAGCGCCACCCGGTGTCTGATGCCCCGGATAAGAAAGCCCCGCCGCCAGAGGCACTGGCTCTGGCTCAAGCGACTGCCAAAGCGGGAACTCTGACACGCCATGCCGCGCCCTTGGCCAAGAAGGTTCTACCGGCGGACGAGCCGCTGGGGCCTTGTCTTGTGGAAGGTGGCGACGAGCGGATGGAAGAGAACGGGTGGGAGGGGCAGGAGTCTGGCGGTGCAGGTTCGAAGGCTGGGCGCCGCGGCGGCGGTGCCGGTGGCTGGTGGGGCCGTGGGGGCTTTCGGAGAGGTGGCGCGAAGAGGCGCAACCCGGCGGCAGCGGCGTCGGGATCTGCAGCAGACCTGAAGGACGCTGGTCGGCCAGTACAATGACAGGTTTTACCATGGTGGATGACAAACGTGCGTTCAAGGACGGAAGTGGCTTGCTGCGAAAACCTGGGCGTGCTTAGGGTTTTTAGGGTTTGGCCCCGGGGAATGTCTTGAGCTGAGGCGCCTCAAGGGACCTTGTTTGTTGTGTTCTTACGACTGCAGGTGCGCAGCGCGTTTTATCGGCTTGGGGTTACAGCCCGAGTCACCGGGCCAGAATCTATACAGGCGGTACTAGGCATCGTTCTGTATTAGGTGTAGGGGCCATGGCGATTTTTTATTTTTAGATGTGGGCATTGTCATTGCTGTATAGCACTACTGAAAAATTAAGATACGAAATGCCAAATGTGGGCATGTTATCAGGGCACGTTATACCGGGATTGCGGGCTTTCCTTGGGCGTAGGACTTCCATATGCATGTTAAATTTTTGAAGCTCGGCACCACGCGCTTTGCGTTTAGAGCCTCCTTCCCCTGTCCTGTGCATTTCAATTGACACAAAAACTTCTTTGTTTGGGGATGCTTCCGCGTTCTATGGCTTTTGCGAACGAGAGCTTGTTGAAAGTCTGAACCGCCAGGTAGTGCAAGCCGGTGACGGTGATGGTGTCGGCAGGATGGCTTACAACAGGGGGAATCAGCATCGCAGCATCTCTGAATCGTGTTGTTGCGGATGTAAAACCTCATAACTGAAGGGCGAAAGCTGCGCTTGCCGTGACACATGTTTGCAGCCTCGTGACAAAATGCGGCTTTTTCTGTATAGTGCGTTGCAATAATGTGCCCACCCTATAGCTGCTAAAGGCATAGAATGTTATGAAAATCCGAATTCCATCAATTTGCGGCACAAGGAGTTAGCGGAGACACAACAGTTGGACCTTCCTACCGTAATATCCAACAATATGAATTTGCCAACAGTTTCCGTCCGGTGTCCGGTCCACATATTAAGTCAGCACACCCGATCCGTCTCCCCCATTGGAAACATACGAACGACAACAAGTTTCAACACTTGCCTATAGCCCATCTTGGCGCTTACGGCTGGACTACAAACTTGTTATCCAATTTGTACTTCAGCCTACAGCGATTACAGCGATTACAACGACCCACTGCGCCCTGCCCGTAACTAACCAACCTTCCCAGTTCCGTAAGTGCATCAAGCCGGGTTTTCCTCAGCCAGTACGCAAAACTAGTCAATCGGCCCCTTTCCTTTTAAGTTAGGATCGAGTCCAGCGGGACCACGGCATCGCACACCTTGCAGCCTCAGCAGTTCCGAGGAAGAGATTCGTTCACGCGCCTTCGTGTTCAGCAGTTTTATCTTCTCCCGCTAGGATGTTCTGTTCCTGCTCCTCGATGGTGGGTCCACCGCCCTCCCTGTTGGCATCCACGATGGGGACCGGCTCACCGGCAGCATCGAGCTCCTCCTTGCCTGGATCCCAACAATGGCGGGCGCCGAGCGGCGAGGCGATGAGAACCAGAAGTCGATAGCAATTAAAAAGGTCAACGGAAATAAAACAGGCTCAATAGGTTCCTACGCAGGGATGAATCTTCTCAAGCCAACAAAGCCAGCCTTACTTCAAATCTACAGCTGTCCATGGCTCCATAGTGCGATATCTCCCAACTTGCTGAAAGATACTGTCGAGTAATAGTAATAGGTAGGTGTTACAGCGAGCCCCAACCCCCTCGGGAGTACCCCAGGTTGAGATTCTCAGCACTGCTCGCTATCATTAATCTCTCTTTTGGGAATACGAAGGGAATTACCCATCGTACGTGACCCGGAATGTAACCCCGCCACTCCTAGGCAAGACATCTCTGTCCATCCATTACGATCCACTTGATGCTACATCTGTCAGCTGGTCGCTAGGACTTGATGATGAGCAATGCCCTTTCATACACGGTACATACCCCCTCTCTCTCTCTCTCGTTCTATTCGCGGGAGGGAGGAACAGAGCGCGAGCGCGCGAGCGAGAGCATGTACTCGCTTCCTCTCGAACAAATGGGTCAAGGAGTCTCTTGCTGTTTGCTTTGTGATTGTTAATTCTGTGTCCGTACCTTCGCCCGTACACCTATATTCGTACCTGTGTCAGCGGGGCGTTGTAGATCCTCCACTTCCGCTTTCAGCTCGGATACGTCGACTGCGGTGGCGACGGCAAGCAAATAAAACCCTAGGTGGAACATCTTAATCTAAATCAAATAAACATTCTAAAAAGGAAAGTTTCCGTTATTCGCGATTGAGAAGATTCTCCCAAAGGATCATCGCAATATCTGAATCTATCGTGTTATGGACCGAAAAAAGGCTTTTCCTTGATGGGCAACTTGGTCAGAAATTCTTTTCCAAAGTAAAAACATGGAGAAAGTAAAAAATTCTTCTAAGTTAAGACATCGCGCCTATGATCTATGTTCCGTACAGCGGAACGAAACCAAAACGGTTTACGATCGTTGCGCACTTACTGCCCCCCACGTCTCGTTCCGCTTCCTCAGTGGCGCGTTCCAGGTCCGACTTCTTCACCTGCGCGCAGGAACCAGAACGCAGCCAAGCATATGCTGCAGTCGCAGTCGCATTCAGCGGAGGCAACCTAGCTAAACCTGGGAGCACTCCATTGCACAAATTACTATGAAAGAAAAAAGCCTACACATGTTCACTTCCTGTCATGCAGGTCAACTTGGTGTTTGGAATTACCGTAACTGGGAAGCTAGCTTTAGGTCGCAGCAGTTTGCCCCGCCAGATGCAGTATCCGGCAAGGAATGAAGGTTTTAGCTCGACCAAGCCTCAAAAGGAGAATCCACCAGTAATTATTTTAATAATAGTAATAATATCAATAACGATATCATGGTATTACTAGTAATATTACTAATAATATTACTAATGATATTACTATTATGTTATGATTTAGGGGACCAAAGCAGAGAGCACGGGTTTACAGGCCTTACAACAATTTTCGCAACTTTTATAATTTCTGCGTTGTGCGCTAGCCAGGAAGCCGTAGGAAAACAAAAATTAAAAGTTCGTTGTTGTATTCTGCTTTTGCTGCTTGATTCCCTTTTAAACCAGGACATGTTGCAAGATATGCTCCGGACTGTCCAATATTCAAGAATGCTTGTACCACCAAACATTACAATCATCCTCGTCTGCAGCATCAGTAGCAACAGCATGCCTCAGCCGGCAGTACACCATGCCATACAAGATCATCGTACCCTAAAGTCCGGATCTGATGGGTTGTCCACGGCCCCGGCGTCAGGCTCCTGCACAGTACGGCGTACGGCAAAAACTTACATTGAAAGTCAAAAGCTGTAGAACTGGACGCACGATGGCCTGAAAAAACGAATACGACGTGCAACGTCCAGCATATTATTTTACGGGGGTGCCAAACCCAAAAAGTCACCGACTTCGCAGAATCCGGCACACATACGAGTGATGCGATGAGAAAGATGAAAACGTAGCCCTGGGAACACATCGAGGGGGGAAGGTAGCTAGGGACTGCCAGCAGGCTAGTGGCCACCATTTGAGCTGTAACCCCCCTTCTTCACACAATCATATTTATTGGCACACCCTCACGTTGCTCTTCTTTGCTATGCCCGGATCCCCAGGAAAACGCCTAACGGGCAAATGCGCTGTCCGCAGTCTGTTAGAACATTAAAACGTTCGGCTCGGCATTGCTAAGATGGCATCATGGCGCGAAGCCAATGCCCTTGATATTCTTGTTGAAGCCCAATGGGGGATTCCCAGGTCGTACATGTACGGCAATACAGCGCTCTCCGCACCTGATCCACGCCCACGTCTCCAAAGCCCTCATCCTTCTCTTGATAGTACAAGTCGGTGTTGTATGCACCTGGCTTCTTGAGGGGCTTTCCCCGTGCCTGGGAGCGTGTCTGAGGACGGTGGAAAGAAAGCCGGAAGGAAGGCCAGTGGAAGGAAAGACCCGCGGGTCACGTAGTCGAAGTAATAACCAGTATTGCCATAAGAAACACGCATCCGTAAGTAGGCGCAAGGTTGTGACAGCCGTGGCCTTGGCCGATGCCTTGGGTGACCTTTCACTGCGCACACTGGGCATCTACTGTCTGTACGACACAGCAACGGTGGACGTAAAACCCTAAAACACGATGAGCGCATAAAACGCTTCGAGGTTGTGTACATGTAAAGGGCACGTCACCGATTAACAGGTCAGCGTCACAGGCACGCAAAAATTACATCCAGACGTTGGGAACGGTAGACGCCAGACCCACGACCACATGACGTGGGGGGATAACTCGCTGCCGGCCGGGTTAGCGCCGAAGGGAAGACCCTGCTCGGTCCGGTATGATGTCCAAGCTGCAGTGTCCAAGTTTCCCTCCACTTGTGAATTGTGGGATTTTTCTTTTTTCTAACGTTAAAGACCAAAATACTATCGGTGGAGCTGGACACAACTTCGTGCGTTCCGCGTGTCTTGACCCCCTTGCGGTGCCCCCTCTTTCCCTAGCAGCCTCAAGAAATGTATGGCATGTATGCGTGTATATGAAACGACAAGCCCAAGAAAATAGAAATGCCGCGTGGCAAAAACAAGAAACAAAGCACGTGCCGTACATGCGCACATCGTCAACCTATAGGGTTGGTACCAGTGAACCATGGGTCTGTCCGCATCCGCATGTGACGTCAGGTAAAAAAGATTTCCCAAACAAAACTTGGAGAAATGTTGCTTTATGTTATGTTTGCAGCTCTCAAGGATGTCCCCGTTCGCGCTATCTGCTGACCGGCTACCTTGCAAGCCAAAAGCTAAAAAGGCAATTAAAGACTTTCTCGTCAGATCATCCGGACATGGGAAGTTGGGCACTCGGCTGCTCTCACCTCAACCATCTTCGCAGCGCTTTAAATAGGAAAAACTGACAAAGTACTCTCGAGAGCTCCAAAGAACGATTTCTGCCGAGCTCAGTTCCCTTCGTGCGAGTGAAACCGGAAATATAGGTGCTGACGCCGCCAAAGATGCAGTCAATAGATGAAGCGTTCTACTACGATAACATGAACCGATACATGAACTGGAGACCTAAGCGCACAAACGCGATTTCGGCTTTGACTTTTGGCCGCGGCGCGGTGTACGACATGCGATTTGCGCAGAAAATGTACTGACTGTTTCCATGACGTCATGCGACAGGCCACGACAGCGCTGCGTACACAAATTGCGGCGCAGCAATTGGCGATGTTTTTTCTTTCGCGTCACTTAGTTGCCAGCCTTCTAAGCACTAGCGCCCATTTTACAGCCGAAAGACATGCGCGATGCATGTCGTAGATGCATTGTGGTGCTGTAAGCTTTATAGCAGCCGGGCTGTTGGCCTGTATAATATTGTTCTGTTATAATTTAGAGGGACCAAACAACGTTGCGACGTCTCTCCTTCCTCGCAAGCTGCGCAGAAAGGGGCCGCAGCTGCGCACGACTTACGTTGGCCTACCGCCGCCGCGCCGCTGCTGTTGCGAACGGCCCGGTTAAATATACTCCTTACACCATTAGTTCTCCTCTACACGATAACAATTTAGACATAACTGCTTAAATTTCGAGGTGAGGTGAAAAAAAGGATGAAATAAAGCACTGTTGCCGCACCTATTGCGACCTCCATCGCCCTCCTACGTCGTCTTGCATCTCCACAACAGACCATGCTATCCCGCTTAGCTGTCCTCCTACGATCTCCTCCCTCTTTTCGTTTTCACGCAGCCGAATTGGTTTCCATAACGCAACATGTCAAATACAAGTCCAAGCCAGCGACCACCATCTCCCTCTGCGCCCCTTCAGGCTTCCCGCACCTCCACACGGGGCACGACGCAAGTTGCGTGCCCACGGGTCAACGCGGCGGCCGCGGGGGAGCCGAGCCACTGTTACCGGGGGGTGGGGGAATTGAACCCAGATCGGGTGACAGCGAAGTAAAGTAAGCACATAAAACACACGCGCGGCGCTCAGCCACTCAGCCACTCAGCCACTCAGCCGCAGAGGGCCTTCCGCCTCCGCAACTAGGCAGGCAGGCAGGCAGCCGGGCAATGGGTAAGCGCAAGGGCCGCAACTCCGGCCAGCAAGCCATCGCTGCGGCTCGCAAGCGGGCGCGTACGACGTTGCCGTCGCGCTTCGAGTGTCCGTTTTGCAACATGCACAAAACGGTGGTGTGCACTCTTCAGTCAGACCGGGGCCGGGCTTCGGTGGCTTGCGAACAATGCGGAATGAGCTACAACACGACGTGCAGGTATGTATGTATGTAGTTAGGTAGTTAGGTACGACGTAATGGTTCTACAGTGATGGCCCTGGTGCAATGTGCGGTGGCGTGTGCGGTGGGATTTGGGTTTTGGTTATCGGGGGGTAACGGGGTGTACGGCGGGTTACATCTAGCTTGGATGTGCAGGAACGAGGTGGAGAGGAGCAGTACGGAGTTCGTGGGTCTGTCGTACATGGCACACAGCGGACGTGCACATGAGGTGCATGCAAAAAGGTGCAAATGAACAAAAAGAGAAATTGACGCGTTGGGCCCTAACCCTAAACCCCCGAAAACAGCAACTGACGTCAAAATTTAAGCTGGAAGTGTCGCACCGCACTGCCCTCTGCACCGCGCCTGGTGCCATCGGCATCCCCTTCGTTCCCCATCTCCTTTAGGGAACAAGGGGATGGGGAGCGAAGGTACTCTGTGATCGCTGCATCGCTGCTGCGACATTGAAAATACAAAGGTTTTCCTTGCAGTTTTAATCTTGAAAAGCAACAAGCTACTCCGTGTGCAGGGGGTGACTGGGGTTGGGTAGCGTAGTGCCGGTAAGTTTTGGTAACTTCTTGAATTGGAGGGACTTGGTGTTGACCGCTCCGAAACTGCCAAGGGAAGTTTCGGCTGACAAAACATTGGAGGTGGCGTTCCAATTGTGAGTTGAGTTATCAAAACTTACCGGCACGACGTGCCTTCCTCTTTATGTGTCAATCATTAATTACTGAGAAAACAAACAGACAGAGTGCCATTAATAGCCTTTTTTTAATCTTCCGTTTCGCAGGACTTTGACGGAGCCAGTTGACGTGTACCATGAATGGCTGGACGCATGTGAAGCTGCCGTACATGTAGGTACTTGGGAGCTTTTTTTGTGCGTGGTTTGTGTTTGTTGTGTTTTCTTTGCAGAGGGAAGGAAGTCACAATCGTGCCCACAGTGGGAGAGTGTACTTCGGTGATCGACTGGTCAAACAGTTGACGAACAAACAGAACATGCATGAAGCAAAACAGAAAACAGTAAGACATGTTTCCTGAGTTTTATCCATCTACTGATCGCTAGGGTGAACCGACGTCACGCGCCCGCGAGCCCAACTGGCATACTATAATAGTAGTATCGATCTGATGGCCAAACGAGAGTGATTATATGCTTTCGGGATAATCTACCGATGCCAAATTACAAAATCTTTATGATTCAGTGGCGAAATCTTTTCAGTATGTTAAATTTTTGCTCGCAGGTGACCCACCATCAGCTGCGCGATCACATTCCAAAAGGGAAATCCAAGGCTCATGCCAGCATCATTCCGATTGCAATCATACTTACCTGGCCCGCTTCTCGAGGTGGTCATCTTGGCCTCGGTTGTATGATCAGTCTTCGCCTTGCACATTGCGAGGGCCTTTCGTAGTCGGCCCTTCGGGTGTCCGGCAGGGCTAAATTTTTGTAAGGCTGAGGATTCGCGCACTGCGCGACCTCGGCACCCATTTAACACAAAATGTAAACCATTGTACTACCAAAAGAAATATTTTCTGATCATCGGCCGCCAACATACGGGGCTAACCATAGCCAAATGTTTTCGATGACACATTTAGTTATAACTTTCAAAGCATCTAGTTAGTTCCTGCAGTACATGCTTGCAGCTTCCCTGTGAGCTTATTCAAATGAATTACGGCTGTTGTGATGTCCCTGGCTTGTAGGAGGGCGATGGAGATGCGGCCGAGGCGGTAAGAGAAGAAACGCCGTCGCAGCAGCGGCTGCAGAGGGCCCCCCGCGTGGCTGCTAGACCCCCCGCAGCAGCAGCTGAACAACGCCGCGCCGCCAGAAGTATCAACCGAACAGAGAAAGGGGGCGACGCGGAAGAAAGCGAAGAAGACGGCTCCCCCGTGCATGCCGACGGCGAGTTGCAGCTTTCACCACCGACATCTTCACTGCACCGCCTACGACGCGGGTCGCAGCAGCAGCAGCAGCAGCGTTTTCCGGCTGACAAGCTACTGCCGGGTAGTCCGCCAGCCTCTCCGAGGTCTCCGTTGGCAGTTGCGGCCGGCGGGAGCAAACGGCGAGTGCAGCTGGTAGAGGGTTTGGAACACACCATGCGAGCCGGGCTGCAAGCAGGTGATCGGTTCGAAACATAGACCCGCATTTGTTTTTCCGGATTTGCATTTTACTGCAAAATTAATTCGACTGTTTTGGTTTTGAGATTGTGGAGCCTTTAGGTCGCTTTATGAACGCCCGCCATGAACTGCAACCCCCTCTCTCCTTCCGTCCCGCCCTCCCTCTCTCCTCCCATCCCTCCCGCCTTCCTGCCGCCTTCTCTCCTCCGTCCCCTCCACTCGCGCACGCATGCAGGAGCCTTCCTGCACGACCCCGCGGCGGCCTCCCTGCTTGCGGAGCGCACAGGACTGGGCGGGGCAGCCGCCGCCGGGGCACTACCTGCTGGATCCGGTCACCTGCAACAACAAATGGCGCGACAGCGGCAGCTGCAGCAGCTGCAGCAGCAGGAAGAGCAGCAGCAACCGATGGAGTGTGGTAACGGCGGCGGCGGTGAGGTGGGGCGACAGCCGCAGTCTCCTGCACCAAGCAGCGGTGGCGGCAGCAGCGGTGGCGGCGGCAGCGGCAGGGCCGTGCGTCGGAGTCTGGATGGCGGTCGTAATACCCCGGGGGGGGTTTCGCGCCGGCAGACGGAGGAGCAAAGGCAGCTTCAGGCGGTTCGGGCGTTCGGGGCGTACGACGATGGGGAAGACGAGTAGCTGTGCTGCTGCTGCTGCTGCTGCTGCTACTGCCGAGGAATTGTTGTGGAAAAGTTGATAGGACGGCGCACCGACATATTGAGGCACACGGTTATTAGCAGTCAAGGGGTGGTAGGCGCGCTGTTGTAGCAGGCTTACAGGATTGTTATCGTATAGCTTCCCTGATTCGAAATTTTTAGGATCCCCGGAACGGAGATTATCAGCAAGATAGGAAATAGCTCTGGCCGCGTCGCTAGAAAGCATTTAATTGCATAAGTCGCATATGAATTGCTGTATATAAGGCCCTAGGGTTCCTAGGGTGATTGTGACTTTTTTGAGGTAGTGTGTTTGCTGTGCTCTATGATGTGTTTGTATGTTTGTATGTATGTGTCTTTTAACCGACTGTCCGTTGCTATTTCCTCGTTCACGACGATTTCATGTAAGCTTACGGGGCACGAGCGACACTGACTGCAGGCGGAGTGGTGATGGTGGCGGTGTGGACAGCGATTGGGCGTCTGTCACACGTTGTAACGCGCAACCTGCAAGGGAGAACCTCGTCTCATCCCCACATCCGTATGTATGAGTTTGAGCTTTCGGCTTTTACAGGACGCATAAAGGGATGAAGCCACCTTATAGCGCCTAATTAGGCCGGGTAGGGCGGACACTTCGCGTCGTGTTTGAATATCCTGCAGCCCTATTGCAGGTAGAGCATCTGCCCACGGAGGTCTCGTGCAAATTCTAAACATTAATTAATTTATAAGGCTTGCAACCCAAAATGGACAGGTGGGTTGGGTATGGTGAAACACGTGCATTCGTGTGGTTTTACAAGGTGTACTTCGGCGGCAAGCATGTACGTATGTATGTGTATAATGTGTGGGACAGGGGGTCATATCTTCACCCCGTGGCCGCTACCCGGCAGACCCTGCCTTTTCTCATCCGTTAAGTATGTATGCTGCTGGTTGTACAGTCAACCAGTGTACGACATGTTTTCTGGCGGGAATTAATTTCAAGATATGGTGACATCTCGTCAGTTAAAAAGCACTCTGGGCGAAGACGAAGGACGTATAGGAGTACATGATGCACAAAGGTGAGACTACACGTAAGCTGTCCGTACGGAAATGAACGACAGTTTAGTATCCAATCATTAGTGAACGCCGTCTTGGGAGCGGCCGAGAGTCAAAATTAACACCAGTGCACTGCCTCAGGCACGTACGACCGAAAGCAGAGCCGTACGATACATTTCCGTAAGCCACAGAAATGTGGCATCCGGTGTCTGGGGCCTTCACTCGCACTTGGTTGCACCCCCACTTCCCTACCACATCCACCCCGGAATGTTGTAGAGAATCCCGTATATCGCAATCTCCTTCAGAGATAGGGTTTGGGCCGTCCGTTACTTTAGCCCCCATTGAATGCTTCCGCTGCATCCCAGTTAAGACCAGCAGGGGGCCGAACCGGCGAAAACATATTAATCATTTCTTTGTTTGACTGTTCGTCTTTGCACCTGCTGTTCGGGTAGTTAGTAAAAAGGGGAACAACGCAAATATCCTCTTCTGCGCCCATACAACACACACCCGTACGGTGTAAGCGATGTAACATCCCATGATATGCTCATAAGCCCCATGTCGCCCCATGCTCCAGAACCCTAAGCCTGGCCCCGGACGCCCGCTCACTTCCGCCGCACCAAGAGACTCCAGGCGGGCGGCGGCTGGGGCAGCTGTGCGTATGTGGGTGTGGAATCGAAGCGTGTGGGCTGGCACCAGCACCACTCCCACTCTGATGGCCCGAATAAGACCTCCAGCTCAGCTCGAGCCATCAAGGAAGGGCCGCGGCTGCCAGGGTTGCAGGGGATGGAGGTGGAGGGGGGGCTTCCACCCACCCAAGTGTCATTTCGGCCACCGCCAGCGACACCACTGCTGCGTACGGCAGTATTTGCATCCCCACCGCCGCTACAACTACCACCACCACCATCACCACCACCATCACCACCACCATCACCACCCGTAGCAGCACCCGCCGGCCCTTTCCTGAATCCATCGTTGACTTTGGACTCCACAGCAGCTGTCCGTGCCGTCACTCCGCTCCCGTCCTCCTCACCCTCCACCTTCTCCTCTTCCTCTGCTCGCCCAACCAGAAGTAACGCCAATCCGCCGCAACGCAGCAAATCGCGCAGCCTGGCTGCGTATGCAGGACGCAGCGCCGGCGGCATAGCATGTAAACCCTGGCAGTCGTACGCAAAGTCAAAGAATCCGTACGGCCAGGAGCTGGTCTTGAACACGTCACCATGAGCAATGAGGGCTGTTGCGGCCTGGGACTGGGACTGGGACTGGGAGGATAACGCGGCGATATTGGTGTTATAAACACCATTAAGGGAGTTATCGCCACCGCAAGGATTCGAACCTGGGGCTGCGGTGCAGGGAACCGCATCACCAGGCCTGCTCCGCTGCCGGAGCTCGTCCCCAACTGCCTCAACTGTCTGTACGGTAACATGGTGCGTGCCAGCCACCTTTGCCAGGCGCTCTGCCGCCACCTGGCACGCCGCCGCCACGAGCTCCACGCCCACCACGGAAAAGCCCTGAGTGTACGGCAATCACACCTTGGACTTAATGACGTCGTAACGTTTCACGTTGGTTTTCATTTATTATACTCGGTTGATTGGAGGCAGCTTGGAACATGTATCTATGAAAGTGTTGAGAAGCTTGAAAGGGGGATGGGGAGGCAGGAGACGGCCCAATAGCGTGAAGGGAGCGAGAATTGAAAACACAAAGCGCATGACAAAGGGTGGCTGGGGGAGGAGTGCTTCTTGCCTTCATTAAGGGGTTACGCCAAGTCTGCTTTGACCGGCTGGTCTGCATGGAGCAGTAGGACGAGCCACCTCGAGGTGCTCACACGACCACCCATCATACACATCCTAAACAAGCTCTGGACGTTTCCTCTTTCTCCCCCGTAACATTCCCTTAACCACTTTTTTTTCGCATATTTAAACCACCATCAACCCTCCGCCGTGAGACTTAAAAATCGTAAAACACATACCCACAGACCGCAGCGCTCGTCGGCAACTTCATAGGCAACCGTCCCTGTGTCCAGACGCGCTTCCATTCGGCAAATATCCCCCAGGCAAAGTCAAAACAATCCCCAGGCAAAGCCAAACCCCCCAGGCGAGACTACTATCGCTGCTTACCAAGCTGCGCAGGAAGGTCAGTGAGCCACCTGTCCCGAAACACAACTCCAAAGCCCACACGCCACCACCGCTGCCATCACCATCACTCCCTACTTGGGGCTGATGAAGATGAACAGACCCTCCATCGCCGTCCGTGTGCCGTCCGGGGGAGGTCTGCTCCCGAGTACCCAGCAGCGCCGGGGGCGATGCAGCAGCTGCTGGCTTCCAGGCCGCGCAGAGGCTGCACACGTGCAGACCCACGGGTCTGCTCGACTCGTCAACGTCCCCTCCACTTTCTCCGCTAACAGCTCTTCTTCCTCTGCCCCCTGCACGCAAGCCGGCAACGACGCTGTGTTCGTGTCCATGGTGTCGTATAGAGGCGGTTTCAGTCATAGCAGCGGCGGCTGTAGCGGCAATATCGGGCAAGCTGTTCAACGTCGTCTGGGACATGACGGCGCTGTAGGCCTGCATCTCAGCCAGGCCGGATTCAACTGACTTAGGCTCCGTCTCAGCTTTGGAGCTCCGAGCTGGGCAGGTGCAGAGGTAGCGGCGTAGTTGTGAAGAAGCCGTATGGGTGTCCCAGGGCGCGGCATAGGGATCCGCGGCGTAATACTGCTCCCATTTGTTCTTCTGGGTGTCTTCCATTTCAGCTGGGACGCGGGAGCAGGGATCTGGGGTTGAGATGGCAGCGCCTGGAGAGCTTGGCAAGCACCGGGCTAGAGATTGCGGTTTGGAGATGACCATTGACTCTGGCAGGCACCAGCGTGGTCGATTTGCGGTGCGGTACGAACGGTTCTCGAGTATGCGTGTGACTGCTTGCTGTGGCGCTTCCAAATATTGAAAAGCGGTGTATGGGAGGTAGTCATTTCGGTTACAAAGGTTAGGTCTACCTATTATTTGCTTAATTGCGTATGCCAGCTTGATGCTTATCCGAGTGCCCAGTCAAGCCAATAGCTCAAGTCCTGAACGTCAACACCATTAACTTATTAATGCGATTCCAATGGACGAGATTGTCGATGCATACAGATAAGGTACGGGCACTTGCGATAGTTCAAACCTCCATAGGTGTGAGCACAGTCTTTACGCTGCTAAGTTGTTTGGTATACCATAATACCTAATTTCCCGAAAGTGCCGACTGCGTAGCCCCAAGGCAGCCTTGACCAGAAAATGAATTGCAATCAGACTAATGTAACGACCAACCACCTTCAAGTAAAAATTCTAGAAACTCAGCATTTATTACTTTGAGCTATCATTGGCGAAATTGCCCAGTAGACACGCGCAAAATGCAAGCCTTGAAAGAGCAATATGGGGTCACTGCAACCTGGGACAGACCTTGATAGTCCTACTGCAACCCTGAGCTACTACAGAGGCATCCAATCTGCTATACTGCTATACTTGCGCCTTGAAAGCCCGACTCATCTCTTCCCCTCCCTCCCTTCCCTTGTGAATCCATCACATTCCCGTCAACCGCACTTTGCATCTCTAGCTTGGAAGGATCCTTAGTTGCAGGAATTCAAGTAAACTCTACTCTTTGCGCTACAAGTAAAAGAAATAAAAATTAATTTACGCTACAGGGTAAGAATAGAAAAGCACAGCCATACATCTCAATTCTTGACGATTGCACTACACAGCAACCGCTGCCTAACTAATTAACTCTGCCGACAACGACGAGCTGCTATGCAACAACGATGACGACGATGATGACGACGACGACAAGGACGCGGAGGGGTTGCGAGAGCAGGAGTGCTCCCGGCTCGGGGGACAAGGGCTACGGTCGCGGCGGTTGCAGCTGACGCGGTTGCCGTCGTTTAGGTCCTCTTTAGGGGGCTCAGGCGACCCCGCGCGACTCGGCGAGCAGCTGTCTATGCGCCCAGGAGACCGGGACAGCGCACGGCCGCGGTCACGGTCGCACTTGCCGTCGTCGCCAAGGCTGTGGGAGCCTGTACCCCCCGCGAGTCGCTGAAGCAGCTGCGGACAGCCGTACTTCTTGTGATTGAAGCTTCCACATTGGATGCAGGCGCCTTGAGCGATGCGCTCCTTAATCACACCTGACGGCACGCCGACAGCATACAGGCGAGCCTGGTAGGACTTCGCGGTGCCGGCGGCGGTAGCGGACAAGCTCTCCAGAGCGCCATGGCTGGGCGCACGGTAAGCAGTCGCCGCTAGCATGTCTGACTCGATGCTTGTCGCCAGGTCCATGACAGCTTGCAGCGGGTTGTCGTGTCTGTCGACAAAGGCACGCAGGTTGCTGATGTCCGCAGAGACGGCTTCGCGAAGCCTGGGGCACAAGCCGGTGGCGAAGAAGAAGACATGGTCCGCGCTGGTTCGGTCCTTAATCCGCTTCGCGAGAGCAGTGTACGACGAAATGTACGACTTCAGTGAGTTCCTGCCAGCGCCTTGCTTGAGTCCGCCCAACTCCGACCTGGCGCGAAGAGAATGATCAATCGGTGGCGCGATGCGGCGTAGGTGCGTCGCTGCATCGTCCAGGGACTGGAACTTGGTGGTGCTGTCGATCCTAAGTAGGCAATGCCTGGCGCGTTCTCGGAGGCCCCAAATAAGGCCTGCGGCGGCTAGCGGCGTGTTGG